CAGAGAAGGGCCCTGTAGATGGGGAAAACAGAGCTCAGACTCTGGGCTGCCCTGGGGCCAGCAGGCCGGGCCCGTGCTGAGCGGCGCCTTCTTCCCAGCACGGCAGGGAAGGGGGCAGCCCTGGCTGAGGCCAAAAGGTACCACAGCAGCGAAGCGAGATCAAGGCCAAACAGAGCAGAGGGACGGAGCTCACTCAGCAGAAACCACGTGAGGCGGGGGTGGGTCAAGTGCCCCCTCAGCCTTCAAATGTGAAGTCACTTCCCGGGAGGCGGGAAGGGTATGAAGAGTGTCAGACCAGCTGCTTCTCCTACAGACAAAACTCCAGGTTTCACAGATTCTCGGGCTGGGGGTACGTTCCCCAATTTCTGTGGTGTAAATACTCCCACCACTGCCAAGTCCAAGCTGCCGCTGTGATGCTGGAGAGCTGGGGCACAACGCGCAGAACCCCCCATTTCTGCCTACAGACGCCACGGACGCCGGGCACCAGGGGGAGGAATAGGGAAGTCGCTGCCTCTGCTTTTTTAGATGATGTTTCTATAATTCCATTTTTAACAGCAGTTTTAACAGCCAGCTCACAAAATTCCTGAAAGTGGAACAGCTGGCCCTTGTTCCTCAGCCCATGCTGAGGCTGGAAGGCACTGCCCGCATGGGGTGGACGGCCTGCCAGTGCCAGGCGAGCCGAGGCTTCACGCACCACTGTCTCAGCATGCATCGTCTCTGGCTTTTCTCTCTGGAGCCGGCAGCCTGGTGAGTCTGGCCTCAGGGTCACATTCTTCACCTGAAGCAGCTTCCTGAAGAGCCACTGGCTAAGCTTGAGGCTGGGAGGGGACAGGAGCCGGGCCAGGAGGGAGCCGGGCAGGGAGAACATGGCGGGACTGAGCCTCAGTCTGCAGGCCCGGGGGAGCCTCTCCAGGCGCCTCCCAAGCCCTGGGCTAACATTTTTGTTTGATCTTGCTGACAAAGATGACAGACAAGAGCGGCTTTAAATGTATAGCTCCAGGAACTTTCTAAATGACCCTGCAGGGGAGCAATGCTCAGCTGAAGAGACAAAACATCCCTGGAGCCCCTGGGGCAACCGCACACCCCGTTGGCAGCATCACATTGGCAGCACCGCTGTGACACCCCCACTGGAGACTAGTTTCCTGGCCGACAAGTCCATACAAATAGAGGTGTCTTATCTGGCTGCGTGGGTTCAGGACCGCTGTGAGTCCCCGTGGTACCGTGTGTGTCGAGCCGAGGCGTTACGAGACGTTCTCCAGGGCACGGAGAGGCCGAATCCGTCCGGTCGACTGCTGGCTATGTGAGCGCTTCTGTTTTAAACTTTTAGGAATGAAGGCAGAAAAAACCCCTGCACCCCTGCATGTATTTCTTTTAAATGGGCCTATGTCAGGGCACCTAGGTAGTAGCCTTAGTAAGCGCTGTGAACACAGTGGGGCCGATTTATGCTCCTCCCACCACTAGTATGGGAACGCACCAGTCACTCCATGTCCTAACCCACGCTTAGGGTTGTCCATGGTTTATTTTAGCCACCGTGGTGGGTTATCTATTGTATTAGTACATCATGGTAGTGTTAATGTGTATTTCCCTGATGATGGAAACAGAACAAATTTGGTTATCAAAATGCTTACCAACCATCAGGAAATTTGTGAAGCGTCTATTCAATTTTTTTGCTCATTTCTAAATACATTTCTCTATGGACATACAACAGTTCTGTTTCGGGAGCTCTTTGTTGGAAGTATTACATGTCTTCCATTTTGTGACTTGCTGTCTCCATGGTCACTTCAGAGTTCTTAACTGTCATGAAGTCTAGTCCATCAGATGTTCACCCTCATGGTTAGTGCTTTCTGCGGCCTAGTAAGTGCTTAGGACAGGAAGATTGTCTGTGTTTTCCGAAGAAGCCTTATTATTGTATTTTTCATGGTTCCAAGCACAGCCATCTGGAGCATGTTTATGGCACGGTGAGACGATTCTTCCCATGTGCACATCCAAAATGATTGTTCTTAATGTACCTAAGAACTCTGTCTTGACTCTAGAGGGCCTCTTTAGGCTGTTCACTAGCACTGCTTAACTCTGACACTTCTGCGGAACACTTCACCTCTGAAGGGGACACAGGAAGACACAGTATAAACTGGAAGCAATGATGGAAGGAGAAGAGCTCTCACCCTAAACTGCGGAACTGGAATCTCACACCTCTGTTGGGCTCAGCCTTACCGGGGGACCCCCAGGGCGCCATACAAATCCTCCCACTGAGCCACCCAGGTAATCTGGGAAAGCCCCCTGTGAAATTCCCCTTTGCTGTAGATTCCCAGTGTTGACTCGGGATTCCAGGAACAAAGCTGTTATTTTTCAAAATGACTTGGAGGTGATTTGACTTTTCACTCTTTTCTCCACTTGACTACATTCTGGTCTAGCCTCCCCTGAGGAAGTCGACTTCCTAACCTAGTAAAACCACCCTAGCACAAGTATTTCTTTTCTTTTTTTTTTAAAGATTTATTTATTTATTTATACAAGCACTGGGTACAGTCAGAAGCGCGGGAGGGTGAGAGAATTCACCAGAGCCAGAGCGGGGAGCAGAGCAGGCAGAAGGACCGAGGTACACTGCTGAGGGGAGCAGCGGGTGGCAGGAGAGGTCTGCGCGCCATGTGGGACCCTCGCCTGGTGGCCGGGGATTGAACAGGTGCTGCAGAGGCTGCTGGCAGCTTCACAACCCAGCGCTCAACCGCTGCGCCACCGGGGGAGGCCCTCTTTTTGTTGTTTTTTTTTTTAAAGATTTATTTATGCATACAAGAACTGGGGTACAGGCCAGCGATGTAGGTGGTGAGAAGATTCAGCAGAGACAGAGCGGGGAGCAGAACAGGCAGACTGACTGAAATACACTGCTGAGGGAAGAAGTGGGGAGACAGGAGAGGTCTGCTGCGCCATGTGGTAGCTCCCTGGCCGGGGTTTGAACTCATGCTTCAGTGGCTGTGGATAGCTTCATAGTCCTGTGTCTTAACCCCTTGTGCCATCAGGGAGGTTCCATATTTCTTACACCACCAAACTTTCCCTGGATGGTTCCCAGACTCTTAACATTACGGTTTATGTGCAAAGCACTATGCTAAAGACTTATGAGAACTTTATTATTAACCCACATACCACCCTCCTTACTACTTCCTCAAAGCCCTCTCATGGCCAAAAATTACATCTTTTATTGTCTATTCAACTGAAAGACAAGTTTCATGAGGTCCTGTGTCGTTTGCTGTGGTTTCAAAATGTTGAACTCCCAGTGCCTAGCAAGTAGCAGGTTTCCAGGCCTTGCCCTGCATCTATCCAAGTGCTCAAGGACCCTGCCTGCAGGTAGGGTCTCCTCTCAGCATATCACTTCAGAACGGGAGAAGAAAACAAGGCACTTGACACGATGACGTCCAGTTCTTCATATAATTATTCTTCTACTGTAAAGGCTGCCTTAAATTTTATTTGTCAAGTTTGATTAAAGTGTAACACACAAATTTCCCATTTCTTTTATGAAGGCTCCTATTGGAGGTATTTCTGGTCCTTATGCTGACAGATCATTCCATCCACTTCATGACCTTTGTTTTGTCAGGCTCATACAAGAGCTTCAGGAAATTCCTGAGGAAACTGTCTTGTCTTTTCTACCTCTTCCTTGAGTCCATTTCTCAGAGCAACCCACTTGAAACCAGCTAAAGTGGCTTCACTGCTTCAGTTCTGAAATGTGTTCATCATGGCCTACTGGCTTGGCTTCCGTGCCAGTTGCTGAAATTACCTTAAAAATATAGTGACATTTTTTGGGCCTCCCTGGTGGTGCAAGGGGTTAAGACACAACCTATGAAGCTGTCCGCAACCTTTGCAGCACGAGTTCGATCCCTGGCCAGTCAGGGAGCAGCCCACATGGTGCAGCAGACCGCTCCTGACTCGCCTGCTGCTCCCCTCAGCAGCGTATTTCAGTCAATATGCCTGTTCTGCTCCCCACTCTGTCCCTGGTGGGTCTTCACCCCCCACACCTTCGGCCTGTACCCCAGTTCTTGTATGCATACATAAATCTTCAAAAAAATATACAGTAACATTTTCTATCACTGGGACACCATTTCAATTTTATATTGGATCATTCCTTATTTGTAATATTAGAGAACGCGAGATTAGAATATTTCCTAGGTTAGCAATTCCTTAGATTAAGAAAATGATCAAAACTCTTAGGAACAGACGCCACTTTAAGTTATCTAGTACTTTGCTATAAATGCATCAGGTAAGAGATGTGAACTGCTACCACTGGCTTTATTCAGTCTTCTCAGTGCTCAGCAGATTCAGAAGCGAGTCTAAAATGGAAACAATGCTGACAAGCCCCAAACTCCACGAATCTGCAAGTGCCTCAAAAAAAAAAAATTAATACTATAGGAATCCAATTTGATTAACATTCTTACATATATTCAGGTGAAAAATTTTTTACTTTAGCTTAAAACAGTGAGTTATCATCTTTGCATAAACTTCCCATTCACGCATTTCAACAACCAATCCCATGGCCCGAGGGCAGCAGCCTTGTCTGGACACAAAGGCCTGCTGTGGCCCAGGCCCTGAAGTGCCGCGTGCATGGCCTGGTCATGCTCTGCGGTGGGTCTTGCTCTTGACCCCATGAAATCACTTTGAAAAAAAAAAAAAAATTATTTATTTATACAAGCATTGGGTACAGTCAGAAGCACGGGAGGGTGAGAGAATTCACCAGAGCCAGAGCGGGGAGCAGAGCAGGCAGAAGGACCGAGGTACACTGCTGAGGGGAGCAGCGGGCGGCAGGAGAGGTCTGCGCGCCATGTGGGACCCTCCTCCAGTGGCCGGGGAGCAGCCGGGGAGTGAACCAGTGCTGCAGAGGCTGCGGGCAGCTTCGCAACCCAGCACTCAACCGCTGCACCACGGGGGAGGCCCCATGAAATCACTTTTTAGGATTTGAGCAAAAGACACATCTTGAATTTGCAAGTAGACTACATTTTTTAGTAACCTCAGAAAATATGCACAAACATGACAGTAAACGGCTGCAGTTACTTTAGATGCTCTTTATTTTAACACTCACTAGACATGTGTGAAGCAAGTTCACAAGTGTTTGCGTGAAGTTATATACAAAATCTGTCCTCTCACTTGGGAGCTGCTGCTTTTCCTTTGTGCCTGATAGTAAGAACTGGTCCCTCGATCTTAACAGCCACAGTTCTCAGCTGACAGGAACACACAGACAAGATTTTAGGAACCCGCCTGGAAATTCTACTTCAAAATATGGAGGGAGCGTGTGGGGACTAAGTCACTAAGACATCAAAACTCATGGTGAGCCAAGGAAAAGGAAGGGACCAATCAGCTCCGGAGCTTGGGACACTGAATTACAGAGAAACAACACACTAAAAAACATTTTTGATTCTTTCTGTTTGAGAGAAATGGAATGTGTCCAAAATTCACATCTCTACATTTATTACTGACTGTAAGTCACTTTATAAAGACACATAATTTTTGAGTTTCTGATGTAGTCAGAGATCAGTTCTCAGCCACTGTGAACAGCTGCATGCATCACTTCACACCAATGTCAAATGCAGAGTGACTGTGACAGGGACACCCCAGCACATCTGTTACACCATGTCTGTTTGGTGGTGCACAGGAAGGGCAGTGATGGGGGCCGTCCCCCAGTGCCAGTGTGTGCTAGATTGCGAGGTAACCAAACACTTATTACCAACTAACACAGGAAGGAAAACATCAGTAGGGAGAACAGTATTCAAGGAAGTTCTAAATGTGAGGTTGGTATAATGAAAACACAGCTTTGATTTTAGGGGTAAAAAGGTATTAGTTGATACAAATAAAGTGTTTTGTAATCAATTTTCAAAAACCAGATCACATCTTTGAAAGATGAAAAATAAACACTTTACTAATCTACTCGGTGGAATCTAAAACAATAAAATGAAGAATCAAAATGACACGGCATTTCATGAAAAGGGGATTTGAATCTTTTGTTCTAAGTCAGCCAATATTTTACTGTTAGCTACAAATTATTAAAACGTGGTTAGCTTAAGCCCATTTTTAAAATTCAAAATCTTTAAGGAAAAATGTGGGCATATTTTCAGGAATACTGGCTCTTAATAAAAAGTTTAACTTGGGGCATCTGAATAGGTCAAGTACTGCTCTGAGGCACTCATACAAGAGACTTTCATCTCAGACAGCACCTCTGTAGCAAGCCCCAACAATACGTACATGTGGCCACACCACTTACTGACCACCATTAGGCTATGATCGCAGTGTTTCATCCGTGCGGAAATTACTACCAACTACATTAAAGATTTCCAATTATTAGCACTGTGTTTCACAGTGCAAAGAATCTTAAATGTCTATTTTATACCAAAGGTAGAATGCTGTTACTTTTCAATTTGGCAAACTAGTACGTTATTTCTCAGTGAAGTGTGGCTACCTAGAACAGCAGGCCTCTTCTGGTGGGTACAGGCTACTCCTCTGACAGATCACGATGCGGGCAGGATGGGCAAGTGCTCTGCTCCTTCAGCCACTGCTTGAAGCACTGAAGAGGAGAAAAGGAAGTCAGCCGGTGCCTTTAGGAGCACACAGAACCTCAGCTCTTCTGTTCTGCACCTTCACCTCAAAGTACGCTAGAGTCTGCAGTCATCCAACACTCAGACACTAAAGTCTGCTTCGCCCCAGCATAAGCCTCAGAATCAGATCTGTGAAGACTTGGGGCCCCAACCCTCTGTTACCTTCCCCCTAGTCCCCACCCCCCGCCACTCTGATGCTCGTCTTCATGCCTTAGCTGCCCTGATCTAGAGGTTGGCATTTTCTTGTCCCTTGGTCTCCCTCACCCATTCTCCCTCACCATCCCACACGGCGGTGGCTGGCCCACTGCCATCACAGTGCTGGCGTGTGCGAAGTCTGAGAGCCCAGGCACAACACCCCTACACCTGAAGAGGGCAGGCCATGTGAAGGAGGCTGGGAGTGGTCTCCACTTCCCTCACAGTGTACCACAGGGTCCCTTTGCCGGAAGATCAACGAACTGACCGAGCAGAGATCTGGTCTGTGCTCAGCCAGCAGGCTAAATAAAGTTCAGCGCACCACATACCCCAACAGTTACACACAAATCTTGGAAGGGTACAAGCCTGGATCTCGCAGGTCTGGCAAATGGGCCAGTCAGTTTTAGGTTTTCTCCCTTTACAGTATCAAGCTTACTTCCTACACTGTGCGAGATTTATACACTCTGGCGCTGTTTATCAGTTAGTCATGTGCATAAGAAGTCACCTTCCAAGAGCTACTACAGCTTTGAATTTCAGCACCAAGAGAGCCAAGTGCTCCTCGCCACCGACCCTGCTGGGTAGAGAGGAGGGCTCCAGAGCTTGGGGCCCAGCATGCCTCTCCCCTCCCCTTCCCTTTGGAAAGGGAGACAATGAATATGGACACAAGGAGGTTTACAAATGGTTTGAAAAATAAAAACAAAACAAAAAACATATTGATGCTTGGGGGAAAAAAAGTCACTTCCTTGTTATTTTCAAAATACTTTACAGCTACAATGCATGCTACCAGGAAGACCCAAAAGAATTCTTACCCCTTTGTGAAACTTGTGCCCGCATTTTAACACACGCATATTTTTGGATTTGAACACTTCATGGCATATTTCACAGGAATCTGTACCCAAGATCTGTGAAAACAAACATCCAAATAATAAAGAATAACTTAATTTCTTTTTACTGGAATTTCTTTTACTACTTGAACTCTTCCTACAAGTGACTTTCAAATATTTTCACCACTAAGTGGTATATTATTCCCAATGTCAGCGAAGCAGGCAGAAGAAACTTATAATGAAGTTGTGATTTTTTCAGAGAAAAATGTTTCATAGTTAACAGATGCCCAGGTACAATACCACAAATGGCTATTTATCCAACCCCATACTGAGAGTATCACAGTAGCTGAATGTTGCAAATGAATCCTTCCCCTAATTACCTAACAATTGGGGTGGCTCCAGAGATTAAGATACGCCCCCACTAGGGACTAACATGCAGGTAACATCAGGGTAGAAGATCGTCCCCAACACAGAGACGGTCCAACAGCTAAGGGCACATGGGGACACAACAGTAGGAGTCACAAGTGTCACACAATGCAAGTCTTTAAAATAGAGAAGGTGTTATAGAGTTTCCAGTAGAGGGTCCAGAAAGAGATGTGTTAACAGTGGTTACTTCTGGTTAAGATTTACTTTGTCCCCTTTGCTATTTTCTGAAGTTTCTGTGAAGGTGGATTACTCGTGCAAATCAAAACAAAACAGACTGATGGCTCACTCAGCAAACATCCATGGTCAGGGGCAGTGCGGGCGCTGGGACACAGGGGCAAATGGGAGGGTTTCTGGCTCCAGCGGCTCAGTCTGGTGCCTGCAGACAGCAGTTCCCTTGTGAAAGCCAGCCTGAGGGCTGCTCTCTTTCACCAGACACGAAGTCCTCTCCCCACTGCTCTCAGCACTAGCCCCACTCACCATCCTGACCTTGACTGCACTTCCCTCTTAGTTCTGGGCACCTTTGTCCTGGGCAGCTGGCAAGGAAGCTGCTCCACAAACTGCCAGGCAGGTGAACGAATGTACCCCGGGGGGTTAAGGTCAGGGATGGAGCTGGTGGCAGCACCTGCAGGTTCTGAATTGGGGAAGGGGAATTTCTGTCTTTCCCTGACACTGGTGCCGCCAGGCGCAGACGGAGGATGTGGCACAGTGAGGTGGTCACACTCTCACTGGGAGGGTCAAGGTGGGATGGAGGCAGGGTAAGGCTGGAGCCTGGCTGGAGCCCACCGAGCACGTGACCGGGAGGGCCTTGCAGGAATGACCCGCATGCTCAGAAGGTGAGGAGGAGACCCTCTGGGACACAGGCACTTGTGGGTGGGAATCCAAGGGATAGCGGGAAGTGAAAATGTGGAGAAGGAATAAAAACCTAAGTTCGCAAAGACTCACTCTTAAGTTGTCAACCTAGCGCTCTCTGCATAATCTTGCTTTTCAGACTGCACAGCTGAGGGCACCGTGGCCAGCAGCTCTCCTGCACTCTGATCACACAACTGGACAAAGGGAAGCTGTGCTCTGCGCCAGATTCCATGGAGCCCGGCCAGGCACACAGGCGACACACACTGCGTCCCGGCATCAGCTGCTCGGTGGGTGAGGACCAGGGACTACAGGGCAGATTTGCATCAAGTGAAGCAATGAGGTGCTTTGGCTTCCTCATTCAGAAATCACAGACCATGCCAACGGTTACCACTGAGATCAGAGATACAATAGCGCTCATGAAAAAGTCTATGTAAATGTGACATTGTTATTGTCTAAGATGACAACCAACAACTAAACCAGTCTAGCGAATTGGGAGGTGGGTTTAACCAGTTCTGCCCAGCACTAGAGGGGAGGGGGTAGGGAAGAACCAGCCTTTCTGGAGTGCGGTGCCTAACCCTACTAAAGCCCACTGCAGCCCCACACCAGACAACCCCAACAAGGGGGTGTGACCCCAGCTCAGTGTACCAAGTCTGTGGGATTCCAAAGCCTCTGGTTGTAGAGAAGAAAATGATCCAAAAAGCATTTTCCCCAACTAGTCACACTTAGATGGGCTGTTCTGATGGCACACTCAAGCAGATCTATATTTGCTTATAATTTTAAAGAATCGTGAATTAACAAGTTTGTCTCCTTCATTAAAAACCAAGTGGAGGGCCTCCCCGGTGGCGCAGCGGTTGAGCGCTGGGTTGCGAAGCTGCGCGCAGCCTCTGCGGTGCCGGTTCAATCCCCGGCTGCTCCCCGGCCACCAGAGGAGGGTCCCACATGGCGCGCAGACCTCTCCTGCCGCCCGCTGCTCCCCTCAGCAGTGTACTTCGGTCCTTCTGCCTGCTCTGCTCCCCGCTCTGGCTCTGGTGAATTCTCTCGCCCTCCCGCACTTCTGACTGTACCCAGTGCATGTATAAACAAAACAAACAAACAAACCAGCAAACAAATAAATAAAGCATGCCTCTATAAAAAAAAAAAAAAAAAAAAAAAAAAAAAAAAAAAACCAAGTGGACCATGCGGTTGCACACACAGCACTCACAGGGGCAGCCTCTGCCTTCGGCTCCGTGGGGTGTGGTGCTGCTTCAACAGCCTCTGAGGGGGCACCCTGCGAGGCCTTGGTCACAGAAGCAGCAGAGCTGGGCTCAGAGGATCTCCTGTCCTTGCCGGGATTTTGCTGCAGAGATAATGCAGGTGGGGAAACAAGTTTAGTTATCCAAAAGCTCCAGCATCTTCTCTTCAGTAAACTGCTCTCCATATTTTGGCTGAAGCATTTTTTGGTTTTTACAATTTCCTATTTTACAATCAAGGGTAAAGTGGAACATTTTACTGTATCTGAATAAAATACTGACCTTTTTTTCTTCATCTAGAACATGTTCTGTCACCCTTTGGATGATTTCATCAATGCTCAATCCTGATAGTGAGTTCTTGTTTTGGTTTCGCACTTTTTTAATAAAACCAGCAAGGTCAGTGCTGCAAAGGAAAGTGAGGATAAATGAAAAAGTCAAAGTTTTCTAATGCTAAGAAATAAAATGTGTCAATATTAACTCAATAGCTATAAGAATAAAACCAACACACAGGAAAAAAATTAGTTTGTAAACAAAAATAGTAACTATATACAAAAAGCAGGATCATTCCAGACAACTATGAAAATCTCACTATTATTTCTAAATATTTAAATAGAATTTCAAAGTGACAGTGTATCTGCTATATTCCTCCCTAATTAGAAGTGAACATCACACATCTTAGGTTTACTGTAGCTTTATAAAAAGTCACTAAACAATCAGACACCATTGTTTGGACTTGGAATCTATAAAAGTCTCTTTTTATCCAAGAGATAACTAGTTTTGATTTTCTCCCTTAAAAAAAACCTAGCCAGGGCCTCCCGGGTGGCGCAGAGGGTTGAGTGCAGCGCTGTGAAGCTATCGGCAGCTTCTGCAGCGCCAGTTCAATTCCTGGCTGGCCAGGGAGAAACCCACATGGCGCAGTAGACCTCTCCTGTCTCACCTGCTGCTCCCCTCAGCAGTGTTTTCCTCAGTCCAGTTGTTTTGCTCCCTGCTCTGTCTCTGGTGAATTCTCTCACCCTCCCGTGCCTCTGGCCTATACCCCAGTTCTTGTATAAATAAATAAATCTTAAAAAAAAAAAAGCTAGGGCCTCCCCAGTGGCGCAGCGGTTGAGTGCTGGGTTGCAAAGCTGCCCGCAGCCTCTGCGGCACCGGTTTGATCCCCGGCTGCTCCCCGGCCACCGGAGGAGGGTCCTGCTGCTCCCCTCAGCAGTGTACTTCGGTCCTTCTGCTTGCTCTGCTCCCCGCTCTGGCTCTGGTGAATTTTCTCACCCTCCCGCGCTTCTGACTGTACCCCGTGCTTGTATAAACAAAACAAACAAATAAAAATAAATAAATAAAACATGCCTCTATTAAAAAAAAAAAGGCTAGCCAACAACGGGTTTTCAAAATTTGAATGTTTCACAAGTACTAAGGTGGGAACTATATTAACCAAGAATTACATATTTACAACACTAATAATACCCCAAATGCTTTAACCTTCAGAAAATTGGGATGCATTTCTATTTGGCTGTTCACACTCCAACACAGCCAGGGTTACCAACAGCTTTATTTTTAAGGTACTTTTGTTATTACAACTATTTTTACAACTGGCATGTAACCGCTACAATTTCTATCTGTACCTGCTGTAACAGGGGAAGACCTCAGACAAGTGCTCGATAATACTGTTGAATGGCTTCTTGGGAGACTGGCTTGCGTGAGCGTAAGCTGGAGGAGCAGGCAGTTTCTGATCGGCCCCAAGGCTCATTTCTGGCCCAGGAGCCTGGTCAGTGCTCTCTGCCTCGGGCAGCGCAGTGACTTCTGGCGGGCTGCAGGGTGGTCCTGGCAGCAGAGAGGGTGTCCCCGCTGGGCCAGCACTTGAATCCTTGGGAGCTGTAGTCTGGTTTCCGGACTCTTGACTTGCAGAAGTAGAAGAGCCTTGATCATCGTGGCCTGAAGACTCAGGAACAAACTGAGGGCGAGCCTGGGAGGAACACACACAGCAGCCAGTTCACTTCCGAGACACACCCATGGAGGAAGACTATTAAACATCACCATGCCAAACTTGGTTACTCAAGGGCACAAGAAATTTGAATTAAATGTTTTTGTTTAAAAACACTGCTGTCATAACATAACTTGTCAGTTGTTACAAGGGCAGAACTCTGCTGCTAAGTATTTCTCTCTATAATTATTTTCTGTAAAATATGAAAAATGAGAACATTTCACATACAAACTCCCCTTCCTTCAGTACTTACCTACTCAGACTTCTCCATGCCCAGCTATGTCTGGTGGCTGACTCATCAAAACAACTGAACCCATATCCCCCCACCAAACTGCCCATGCTGAGGCCACCAACAGTCTCCATCCCACTAAGTCCAGGGACACCCTGACACTGCTGGTCACTTTCTTTCTTCACATGAGCTCTTCTGGCTCCACCTGCTGGCTTTACCCGCACATCTCAGGTCTTTCTTGGCTCTCCCAGTGAGATTATGTGTGAACTTCCCCATTGTCTGAGGCCTGAATCTTCACGTCAGGCTACACCTCTCCCCAGGCTTTTTTCATTTTCTCATGACTCAAGAGTAAGTGCTCACAGAACTGAAGTGCCATAATCACTCCCAGAGATCCAAACCACAAGTCCAAACTTCCTAATGGTCAGCTCCAACTGGGTGATCAGAATTTTGATGTCTCAAAGCCAGCCTGAGCATAATCTCTTCACTCTGATCTTCCCTCCCATGCCCACCACACTGACAGAAACTCAGGGTTCATTCTTGACTCCCCAACACACACATATATCACTAATAATACCCCAAATGCTTTAACTTTCAGAAAATTAGGATGCATTTCTATTTAGCTGTTCAAACTCCAACACAGCCAACACTTCCCAACACACACCCACTGCACCCCAAACTCACGAGCAGACAGTTCATTCAAGAGTCTCTCCTAAATACTTCTCAGATGTGCTCCCCACACCCCTCCTTGAGCCAGGGCATGGCCAGCAGCGTGGGCTAGTAACTGTCAGCCCTATCCCCAGGCCTCTATGTGGAAAGGCTGATGTTTCGTTTACATAAGGGTGTTATAGATTTTAAAAGATAAACCCAGAAGCACCAATAATTAAAATATGGATCTATCCCACCCCCAGAAAATCCCCACAATACTCCAAGCAACTACTTTGGTCAGTTGAGAAAAACTGTGGTTCATTGTTTTCTTTCCTTCAAAAAGGAAAAAAAAAAAAAAAAAGATGTGACAGACTTACTGTGCCACAGGCAGGAAATGAAAGCTCAGAAATCTGCACTTTAGGAAGTTCACTGAGTCGAGAACCTCTTTTAACTGCCTTAATTTGGTCTTCAAATTGAGACTGTAGAGAGGAGGAAAGGTGTTAAGTCTAATAAATTCCAAGGGAAAACCATAATTAAAACTTTTTTTCTTACTAAACATTACCAAAGGTCAACAATTTTCCAGTAACATGTGAACTACAAGGTATTGAAACAATTACTTCTTGAAGGAAGTACAATATCAGCTCTCAATCAGAATGTTCTACAATCTTATCAATTTTTCTAATCTTATCAACAAGAGCAGAGTATAAAACACATAATTCAAGAACTAGCATTATTTTCATGAAAAATTCTTCATAAAATTTCAATACTGCTTTTCATAGTTCAAGCCCAAAAGAAACCAAATTCTTAGTCTCCTAAGAATTAAAGCCATCACACAGACTGACAGAATTATGAAATGCCTTATAACGTACCTTTGCTTTCTCAGTTTCTTCTCTAACACTGGTAAGAAAGGATTCCCAGGAATGCATGTCAGACTCTATGTCAGGATATGCTGCAGAATCACTGAAAAAGCAGAACAGTATGAAACTGCTTAATGTCCATCTTAGAAATGAAAAAAAAAAGCAACTAAAATACAAATGAAAGAAACATTTAAACATGAGAGAAAGAGACATTAAAATGATCACACATACACCCAAAAAGCCACCTGTTTTTAAAGAGTTGTGTATTTTATAATCTCAGCAGAAAACACTTTACAAATTTTAATTACTGACTAACCAAACCCCAAAACTGGTGAACAGGGAGCAGTCTCCTAAATTTTAATTTTTTCCCCTCAAATTTGAAGATTTGGCTATTCTTCATTTGACACTTTCATGTTTAACATCAAAGTCTATATTTGCATTAAAAAATATAGCCTGAAACATTTAAAACATCCCAATAAAACCCTCATTCTCACCTTCTTGTAAATTAAAGGGTGAGGTCTGAGAGGCTAAGATAAATTTATGATCTGGCACCTCAGGAGTCTGGTCTATTGGAGGTGACAGACATGTTTTCTATGTCTGAGAAGACTGAAAACACCGCTGACCCTTGATAGTGTCAATTCTCATTACACAACTTGAAGAAAAACCCAAACACTCCTTTATGGCTTTTCCCTTGCGTTGTCCTTTGGAGCAACAGGCAGGTAGCAGAGTCCCTAGGAGAGAAGCCAATGTATGGGAGGCTTGTAAGAAGTTGGAAACACAGGTGAGACGCGGTTGGGGTCTGTTTCACAGAGAAGCCACATGAACACTGATGACAGACGCTGTGCAGCAGCAAAGGGCACTTTTGTCTATCTGAGTTTACAGTCCTGGGATCTGAACCAGCACGTTAACTTGCACCTTCAATCAGAAAGGACTTTTCATGTAAAAAGCACTAATCTTTGAAAAATGAAGACAAAGAATCATACTTTATATGAAAACTAACTTTCCTTGACCTACTGACAGACTGAAATTTAAATTAAAAAAAAACAAAAAAACAAAAAAACCACTAGGAAGGAAGAAAAATCCCGGCATAAAGAAGTCAAAATCTGTGTGTGGAACATCTTGCTGAAGGACAAGATGAAAAGTAATCCCCTGTATGAAAATATACATAGAAAAGTGCCAAACGCCAAGACTTAAGGAAACAAAGATTCCCAGGTAAACTTTGCTGAAAAACAAAGTAAAATGAACAAAAACAGGTAATGATTGTGGAGAGCTGAAAAACTGAGTGCGTGCGAATATCCTTCAAAGTGACATTCCCATACTCTGCAGTTCAGATGTTAAGTAACCGTACCTAGGAAAGGCAATTTGGCAGAGTGTTTTAAAAGCCTTGAAAATGTGATCTTCATTCCAGAAATTTATTATGTAGAAATGATAACATGCATAAAAACTAGCTACAAAGTAGTGCAACTTTTGTTAATAAAACGTGTAAACAACCCAAGTATAACACCACTGAGGTGGTTTTGTTAGGGGGAAAAGGCTGTCCTAAAGCTAATTCCATACAGGCTTTGTGGACTCCCCCAGGCCAAAGCCAAAGACACTGGGAACTCCAAATCCCATCACCACCCAAAGGAAGGTGGCTGGGACCTGAGGGTGGGGTTAAGCAGCCAGGCTGATATAAAGGCAGACACGTGGGCTTTGGAAGGGGTCCCCCATTTTGGATCTCCCCCAGCTACCAGCGTCCGACCAGCTCTGAGAGTGACTTTGGGTTTCCAGGTCGGCGGATCGGGTAGGACGCATTAAAGACTTTATTTCCCTATTTTCTCCCTGAGTTGTACATTTTCCTTATTTCCTTTTCCCTTGTAAATAAACCTTTTATGAACCTTTTGTGTGTGCCTGTAGTGGAGTATTAATAAGTCCCTTGTAAGCGCACAGGTGAGGACCCACAGCCAGGAACCCGTTCAATATCGGGGCTGTCCTATAACAGCTTGATGCCCAACGTGATTTCCAAGCTTCACCCGTGGTTGACCAGCCCAAAGTAATTTTTCTTGCGTTGGTCACCATAAAGCGCATTAGGTCTGCAAGACTTTTTGCTTTCCACAATGGACAAATATCTGGAGGGACTGGTTTTCTTTCACACTGAAAAATCATAACCCATTTGTATGCTGGATATAATTCAGTTTTCAAAATTAGACTGGAGAAATGTAATTATTGATATGAAAGGAAGTTTGTGTATATTACCTAGTGAAAAAAAAACATGCAAATTTCCAATACAAATGAATTTATTCTAAATTAACTAGTTATATCACAATTAAGAATTATGGATTTTTTTTCATTTTTGTATAGTTTGATTTTTTTCTACAGCTGAGCATGTTATCAACTGTATATTAAAAAATATAATGATCCTAACATAAAAATTTCTTTCTCAAATCAGCTCTAACTTATTTAGTAAGTGATGTGCCAGAAAGGAGGCTCGTGACAGCACACTGTACCTGCTCAGTAGCTTCAGGTTCTTAAGATACGCTTCAGCTTGTGAGTCCATGATCTGTAACTTAAACACTTCCATCTCCTTCCAGTTTTCGAGCACAGACACCTACCATTAAGTTAGAGAATGTTTAAGTATTTTAACACTGAAATTATTTTAAGGTTGTTAGAACTAAAACGTACTAAACCATTTTCAAGTTTCTCCTTAAATGACAAATGATGACAGAATCGCCAATACTTGATTATGCTGCAATTTCCCTCAGGTGAACATGATTATGCTGCAATTTCCCTCAGGTGAACATGATTATGCTGCAATTTCCCTCAGGTGACCATGAACGAAAACTTTTGGATTTGAAAACTGAATAAAAAAAGACAGTAAAATTAAGTACCTTAAATGAGGCTTCCCTCATTGGCTTTCTGCTTAAGCTGCATTAAGTACAGAGGTTAGTCATCTTAAAGTCTATGCCTGGCATCCATGTCTATACTCCCGTCCGTGAGTGCACAGAAGGCCAAGGGTCTCAGAATAACCCCAACGTTGAACCCTAATGAACTTAAAGGTCTCAAAGTTTTCTCAACACGGGCATCAAAAGCCTCTGGGGATGTTTTTAAGTCATCAGACTACAAGAAATACAGAACTGGTTTGCTTTAATCCAGGTGTCAGTAGTCTTGACAGGATCCACCAGGTGTACCTGCTTGTCAGATGATGTTAAGTGTGAACTGAACAAACGTTGGGAATATATTTTCGGGTGTGGGGCCCACAAAGTACAGGTACATTGTCTTTGCCTTCCTTTCCTTAGAAGCAGTTCAATGTTCAACTGAAAGTCTCATGTCTGCAGACTGCATAAATTCTTTTCTTATTTTCCCTAAACAGTCATATTCCAATAAATAACATTAACTTCCCAATTAGAAAAATGGAGATAACCATATTTTAGTAATTTCTCAAATAACACACCTACATTGACACATATTCTTCCATAAATTATGACTATAATAAGTGGGATTTTCAAGTTCTTTTTCTAGGATTCACAAATATATTTTGTGGTTGGTTACATCATGGTGTTATCACTTGATTAAATATGATGGAGCCATTCAAAGTTAGAGCATGGAAAATGACTGAAAAATAATGACGAGTGTGAGGTGTACAAGGACATCAAGCCACAAAATCTGCTACACAAACAGAGCTATGTAACAACATAAGCATAAAGGTAAATAAAGCATTCAAAAGCCCGAGGCATGGAAGAGGGGATGTTTTAGGGAGGCAGGATTTCGCCTCCGCACTTGTCAGCAAGGCTGCTATGCCTCATGTGTAATTAGACCCAAAACAAACAAACAGCGTGCAGTCCTGTCTTCATCACACGTCCTGGACTCACCTCTGCAGCCACAGCTCTTTGAAGACTCTCTTCATAATTCTCTTTCCCTTTCTTGATAGAGCCTTCTATTTTCAATTTCTCATTTGTAAATGTATTACTGCAAATATCAAGGAAAAAAAAGTTTCTTGAAAAAAGCTTAACTTTGGAGATTACAGAAGCACAAGTTTAGTTTTGAAATCCTATCACAAGAAAACATGTAACAAGTACAGTATCTTCTTGCCCAATATTTGACTATATAAAATAGACTCTCATGTGCCCCTTGAACTTAATAAATGAGCAAAGGAAGACTGGAAATTAAAACTATTTGGGGGGTAATGCTAAAAAATTGGCTCACCATTTTTATGAAGGTAAGTGGGGTGTGATCTATTATAGTTATAATAAACTTTGTAGCTCATCCCTCATCCTTTGAGTCACAAGTTTTATTTGGGCACATAATGCAAGGACATAACCCAAAGGAAAAAGTGGTCTGTACAAAGTTGCTCATGGCAATGTTTATAACAGCTAAAAAAGGAGGCCAGGACCATGATGTAAATGAAAGTATACATGAAACAATGAATAAGAAAAGTAAAATACAATTATTCACAGCTAAATATAAAGTTTGCCAGTGTGTAAAAACAGTATTTCCATTAATAAAAGGTAAAATAAAAAAACTTATATTAGTAATTCTCTAATGAAGGAGAAAGAGGCATAACCAACAAAAAAGAAATTCAAGATTTTTAAAATTGACAATGCAAAATAAAAGCAGGAACAGCTTAAAATAAAAATACTTAAAGGATAAATTTACTTCAATATTTATGGAATAGGATAAAAACAGAAATAAAGAAAATAAACACATTATTCTATAAAAGAAACAAACAATACACTTAGAAGTCTAGTGTGCTTGTACCTCTGATATGAGAATTTAAGATATTAAAAATAAATATAAACTTAATTTGCCTGATTTCAAGAGACTGATCCGGAAGTAACTCATGTTTCTCATCCTGTTCGTCACTTTTCTGGGGATACCTGAAAAAGCATAATCACCAAATTTTAATTAATATTCAAAGATTTTTAAAAAAAGATTTTTTAAATTTCTATTTAGGGACACAAGAACTAGGGTGTAGGCCAGAGGTGCAGGGGGTGAGAGGATTCACCAGAGAGAGTGGGGAGCAGACCAGGCGGATCTACTGAAACACACTGCTGAGGGGAGCGGAGAGACAGGAGAGGTCTGCTGCACCATTTGGGTCAGCTCCCTGGCTGGAGATAGAAGTCAGGCTGCAGTGGCTGGCAATAGCTTGACAGCACTGAGATTTTAACCCCTGTGCCACCAGGAAGGTCCAATTTTCAAAGATTTTTTAAAACATGTTCTCACAGAGTAAACTCTAACCCTATCAGTGCAAGCATTTTTTGAATTTTTTTTAACATTTGTGTTCCCTAAGTGACGATATGCCTGTAGCACAGATCCTGCACCTCGGTCCATTTCCAGGAGCAGCTGCACTGGGCCAGCACATGCAGAAGAGGCAGCGCTGCCAGAGCACCACCAGTGCCACCCAGGGCTCTCACTCAGCACGGCTCCTGTTCTTTCAAAGACAACTTAAAGCCCTATTAGCGCATGCATGGACACACAGATGCACGCATGGTCTGACAGCCTCTCATCAACAAAGTGTGCCAAGCCTGATTCCTAGACAATGCTTTACACAAGATGGGCCCTGCTTCTCCTTTCCTGCTCTCCCGCATGCCTCTGCAAGTCATCTCTACTTGCCCAAAACCCCAAGTTTCCATTAAAAATCACTGTCACTTCATGGCTTTTCCCTTCCTCAAACACTTCCATGAAACACCCAATGCCAGCCATTCCTTAGCTGAATACTAAGTGTGATCTAAAGTACAGCAAAATCAAAGATATTATTCTTTATCCTTTGTGCTTCTGTAAGAGACCCAAAATATTTTAAGATTTAACCTTAAACATTTAAATATAAAAATTTACCTTTAAAAACATTTATTTGTAAAGTACAAAAAGCAACAGGCACACAGAGCTTATTGCTTATCTTTAAATTGTGACAGAAAATGCCCAAAGAGGAAAAAAAAATCAATAATGTTTATTCCTAGCAGAAACAGTAATTTTTGCTAGCACAGAAAATTTTTTTATCAACAGTTTCATTTATTCCAGTTGATAGTACGTCTGAATTGAGCATACGAAAAACGTTTAATATTAAATATTCCTGAAGTTCTGAATAACTTAAAAAAAATTTACGACTACACATGTTCAAATATTAGGAGGTAGAGACCTTTACAAACATTACTGTTTCCATAAATGTTCCCCACTGAAGAAACTACCCCGAAACTAACGATCAAACCAGTATCAGCAAGCATCTACTTCTTCACTCTTTTAAGCACTGTCTAAAACTACCCAAATGAGCACTTGCAAGTCCCATAAAGAAAGTTATCTGGCTGTAGGGTATGGGACATGTGGAAAACATAAATGTCCTTGAAAGGTGAAGGTGGTGATATGGACTCCCCTCACTAGAGCCCTTCAATCTGGACGAGGCCTGCAGCTTCCTTTAGACAAGAGCATGTGGCGAAAGTGATGCTCTGACAGTTTTGGGCCGGAACCTCCAGAAGCGCCCTCTGCACTCCCCAGCCTTCGCCGGCACATCAGAAGTCCAGCTGCCATGCTAGAGACCACATGCTAGAGACCAAGCATCACAGGAAGACACCAGAGGAGGAGGAGACAACCTGAAACTACACGGCAGGAAAGAGGCCAAGATACCCCAGCCTACCAGTCAATTCTTGCTAAATGCAGCCCCACAAACCACTGGTATGGCCAGAAGTGGCCCAGCTGAACTCAGTCTGGCCCAGATGGCAAGATCATGATCAAATAAAATGGTTGTTAATTTAAGTCACAGAGTTTCGGGTATTTCATTACACGGTGGCAGATAACAATTAAGCTCAGGAATCATGTGATAAATCACTATTTAGGGAAGAGAGAGATTGGAGTGGATCACAGAGAATCTTAAAACAGCTCGGCCCATCTGATGACTATAGTACCTGTATGTATTACCAAAACCCTCAAACTATCCTCAAAACCCTCAACGATCCAATTTTTACAATTTACAGATATAGGATAGAAGTAATTATGAATAAAATGGTCATCAGAACCTTAGTGCAGGAAAGAACGTCGGCACAAGACCAGCCCCTTATACAGACAAGCGGGCCAGGGGCTCTGTGCACCCATGGAGGGGTGCAGACACCAGAGGGAGGAAATCAGGTCTTGGCTGAGCCCCAGGCCCACTTTTAATTTACCTGAAAACACAGTAGGTTTAGAAAACATTTTAGGGGAGTAATTCCCCAACGGATGTTCTTTAAAGAGATGAAGACAGTATCTAAAATTTCACCTTATTTGAGATAACCTGAAATTAGATATCCAAAGTATTAAAATAACCCCTCAAAAAAATCCCCAATTTAAAAAAAATCGCTTTTCGTGTGTTACTTACATTTCACTGGCATTTAAGACCTTTTTCATTTTCTTCTTCAGAGACTTCAGTTTTTCTTGGATTTCTTTTTTCTCCTGTTGCCATTTTTTAATTTCCTTTTCCAAATCTTGGAAGAACCAATTTAATTCCGTCTTTGAAATCTGAAAATATTTTTTAAAGTGAGAATATTAAAAAACATATTAAAAAGAGCCAGAATGACTAGAACTGACTGTGGTGTAACAGAACCCTCAAAAGCTCCAGGTCAGCAGAATAGACAAGGAGATGGCTGTGGGGCCTCCTGAGCCTGGGATACCAAGTTGTACAAAACAGGGTCTCAGCCCTGCCTGCTCTCACCCAGGCCGGCTAGAGGTGAGGCCAGTGGGCCCACATAGAGGCATGAGACTGCCTGGTAGTGGGGAGGGCTTCTCAAAATCAGTGATATCTGATCTTGGTCTTTAAGGTGAGTCTAGCACGTGGAGAATGGACCCCAAGGATTGGGCACAGGAGAGCACAGAGCAGTCAGGGCTTGTCTGGACAGGCGCAGGAGGTGCTCCATGGCTGCAGCGGAAAGCGGATGTGTGGAAGGCAGGGCAGGATGAATGGGACTTGGCCTGAAATTATGAACAGCCTTGCAAGCCACGCTGAGGAGTGGACGCTTCATCCAGCAAACAGGGAGTAAGCGTAGGCGCTTAAGCATGGAGAAGATTCTGGAAAAGTAACTCTGCAGGACACAGAGATGGATCAGGGTGGGAAGAGGGCACGTGGAAGGTTCAGACCGGAACAGCAGCCTGCACATTTCCCGTGACCCACCGTAACAAACACATTCTAATAATGATCTGCAGCAAGTGAACTGCAGCAAGTGATCTGCAGCAAATGAACATTTTTTCCAGTTCCACATTTCTTTGCTGAAATCTCTATTCTATTCAGTTATTAAAAACAATTTCAGCCACCATCCTTAAACTGATTTCGTAGCCCAATAAGGATTATAACCCTTCATGTTAAAAGCTGTATTATAGGAAGGGACAGTCTCTCAAAACCTCACAGCAACAACGCAGGCAAGAGACAATGAGGATGATGGTGGTGACAATGGGGTGATAAAATTAAGGGAAACAGTTTCTCCTACTAGTGGAAAAAGGAGACTACGGAGATAAACTATGACAGGAGGCATAGGAAATAACCCTATAAATGACTTATATAAGAACTCAATAATCTTGACCAGTCATTTTGATGGAACAGAAGTTTATAAGCACTTGGCAAAGATTACAAGTCAAAGGAATAAAAACCGTCTTTCAACCTAATCACGTAGAAAGGCGTGTGTCTTGTTTACCCACACATTATAGGCACTTCTAACAGGCTACCCCAGAACAGATCAAGTCAGTGTGTTCTGCTCCTCAAAACAATCCTTCTCAATATATTCCCGGTATATTAGTAGGGCTACTATGACCACTTATAAGCTGGTTGGTTGTGGCCTGGAAGGTATTTCCCTATAATGAGCCATGTTAGAAACATCAGTTAAATGTACAAAACTTCTCTTCTAAGAAGTTCGTGATCACAGTGGGAATCTGAATAAAATGGAATTTAAAGTGTTAAGAGGGCAAGTTTCAGACCATGAGAGTCCTTACTTTTTTTTTTTTTAAAGATTTATTTATTTATACAAGAAGCAAGGCACAGGCCAGATACGCGGGAGAGTGAGAGGATTGACCAGAGACAGAGCGGGGAACAGAACAGGCAGACTGACGAAATACACTGCTGAGGGGAGCAGTGGGTGAGACAGAAGAGGTCTGCCTCGCCATGTGGGATTCTCGCCGGCCGGCCGGGATCAAACCCGCACTGCAGAGGCTGCAGACAGCTTCACAGTGTGGTACTCAACAGCCTGCGCCACCAGGGAGGCCCTCCCTCTGACTATTGAAGAAAGAATCTTAGCCTGAGTTCTGGGAGTAGAGACACATGGTGCTGGGAAGATGAGAAAAGCAAAGTACTTACTGATCTGTTTAGAATAGAATCACACCTGTCTTTAGTAACCTCCCACAGCCTATAGGCACTCCATTTTGTCCTCTGGGGACCTGCCTCCCATCAACACCTTCAAGTCTCACTGGACCTCTGTTTAAGCATCCCCACCTAAAGGCATGCCCAAATCTCAAGAGCATACTTCAAATGTCTTTCCTTTCCTTCCCTTTAAATCCTAGCACAGGTTACAGTAAGATATTCTAAGAACCCTTTCCACCCTCCTGCAAGTATTCACACTTCGCCCTTCAGCTAGATAATTACCTAAGCTCAAGGCAGACTGCACACAGGTTTTAGTTGACAAGTCCGATTGTTTTTTAAAATATGAATGTGATGCCTTTGACTTGGTCGTAGAGGCATTTGGGTCAAGATACCTGCCAGTGTGTCAGACAGTGTGACAAAAGAAAGGAAACACTCTATTTGAAGGCAGTGGTAGCTGCCCTTTGCTGGACAGCTAGGTGCCATTCCACCTGAGACTCAGTCCTCTCTGTCAGCTTTCTTATGCAGGTACTGCTTTTTGAAACTTCTTCTAAATCTACAAATTCTCTAAAAGTTTTATGTGAATTTTGAAAGTATCATTCTTTCAGTGCAGGCAATGAGGGTGAAGCCTTTAATGTGGGGAACTAAACAATGGCTTTAAAAAAAAAAAATTGGACTGATTACATTCTGCAGTAAAGCACATAAAAACCAGACCCAAAGTTGGCCAAGATCAGAAGCACCAGTATAGGTGCTCATGGTCTCCATCCCTGGGTGCCTGATTTACTGTGATGGTGTCTCTTGGTCAAGTGCACAAAGAAAGAAGCCTTGATGAACTGGAGTAACACAGTACCCAGCAGACTAACACTTATCAAGCTGTGAAAGCTTATGTCAGAAAGAAATACCATTCACACAGCACTGACTAAGTGGCTGTGTCTCCAAATCTGCCCTTATCACTGAGCTGGGTGGACACAGGCATTCCCATACAGATTTAATAAAACTGAATTACCCTGAGGAAACACAAAGTTTATAAAAAAATATTTTGTTAATCCCCGTAAGTAGCTTATTAAACTTGTGTCCCATGAATCACTGTGTTAAGCAGGGTTCAATTTTTCCCTCTCCTAATCAGGAAGACTGACCACCCAGGAAACTAAGCAGAAAAGTTTCTGGTTCCTTCTAATTTTTCTCTACCATCAAATCTCATCCCATCCCAGTATAAATAGGTACTAAGGAATGTTAGGACAGCTACCTTTACATATTGACCCTTTTCTTTTGGGTATACTTAAATTTCAATAACTTAGTTTCTTGATTAAGGTCCCACTAAATTAATTTTCTTCTATTTACTGTGTTAACCTAACTATTGACCTTTGGACAAATTCTTTCTTTCTTAAATGGACTAACTCTCCTTTGCTAGCTCTGTACCTTAGTTGTTAAAAAGGAAAACACAATTTCCTCACAATTCCATTTTCCTACTCATTCAACTTGGTTTTGCTATTAATAAATCCAATAGCAAGGTATAGTAACGGATAGTCAATTTTAGCTAATGGAATTAAAGATCAGTAGACTCAAGACATTCTAGGTGACTACAGTTCCAATGTGCGTGAGCTCCATGTGTTTTTCTGACACTTCTTAGGGGTTAAGGTGGTGATGATGATGATATCAACAGTAACCCTGTTATGCACTGGACAACTTTAGGTACTTTGTAAGTATTAATCTAACCCCATGAAATGGATCTATTGTTACCCAAACTTTCCAGGTAAGAAACTAAAGCACAGAGAAGTTAAATAACTTGCCTAGGATCAGAACGAGTATAGAACTAATCCTGGATCTAAAACCAGTCACTGGGATTCCAGGGTTCACACATTCAACCCTACTGCTATACTCTCTCTCAATAAAAATATTTAACTCAGAACTTAGGTACCAGAAAATAGTTTTAGTTAATCAAGAAAACTCAGTTACAGATAAATGAAAACCCAGATTTACAGCCCTTTTCTTATATGGCAACTAAAGAGGCTCAAAAATGCTGCAAAAACAACGCTGCCCTTTCAACACCAGAGAGAAATCTGAACAGGCAATAATGCACAAGGAGCCTTTGTTCAGCCAACAATGCAGCAGCAGCAAAGGGAGGTCCAGCAGGCACAGCTCTCCTGATTATGCTACAGGCTATTGAAGAGAAGTTTCATGTGGGATTACCTTGTTTTCTTCCAAGTTCCTTGTCAACTTTTCTTCCAGGTCCCTGGTCTCTTCTGCGCCCTTGAGTTTTCTCTGTTCATAATTTTCACATGCTTCCTTTAACTGCTCTTGCAAAACCTGGTACTCCCTTTCAATCTGTGAAATACCCCCCTAAAAGTAAAGTAAATTAGAAAATTATCTATTAAAAGTAGTTTAAAAAGCCTATTTCTGATTTCGTTCTGAACTGTTTCTTAAGTAAACAAAGAAAAATAATAAGCAGAAAAAAGGGAAAATCCTAGGCAGTCTATGATAGGGAAATGTCACAATAAATCAAGAATTAAAAACCCCTAAACACTGCTTAGCGAAGACAGCTCTTTATAAAGTAATTGTTCACATTACTGGAATTCATAATGAAACTTTTCAATCTGTACTATAATTAGTTCTGAATTTTTAGAGGGTTCAGTATTAAATCAGCAGTTTGATATGAATGGCATTCTCCACAACAAATATCAGCAATTGTTAGGTTTTAAAACATATACATTAGGGGGCCTCCCCGGTGGTGCAGCGGTTGAGCGCTGGGTTGCGAAGCTGCCCGCAGCCTCTGCAGCGCCAGTTCGATCCCCGGCTGCCGGGTGAGGGTCCCACATGGCCGCAGACCTCTCCTGCCGCCCACTGCTCCCCTCAGCAGTGTACTTCGGTCCTTCTGCCTGTTCTGCTCCCCGCTCTGGCTCTGGTGAATTCTCTCACCCTCCCGCGCTTCTGACTGTACCCAAAGGTTTTATGCATAGTTTAAATATGAAGAGAACATATTCATTTTGGTCTGGTGGAACAATTATATTATCAATGAACTGTGTTTAATTATGCAACTATCTCTTGGACGAGCTTCTAAAAAAACAGAAGCCATACTGCAAAGTGAAACGTTGGTGAACAATATCACTGATATATTTTTTTACCTTGCACACTACTAAGACTGTCAGCAATAACATACTTGTGTCCGCAAAGAAAGCCCATGAGCTCCCGGGAGCCCCTCCTCACTGCAGGTGACTGCTCTCCCCAGATGCAAGGCCTGGCAGCTAAGCTTCGGAAACCCATCCGAGAGGCACCACCTACTCCATCCACCTTGCCCTTATCCTTCACCTCTCCCAGCTCCGTAGCATGTTCCAAGTGTAAAGGGGCAAAATTCTGTGAAGTATCAGAGAACTCTGAACTATGATCAGAGTGGCCATAATGTCAGTTCACCTTGGAGAGTCCCAGTTTTTGTCTGTCCAGACTGAAGGTTTAGTTAAATAGTCACCCTTCCTGTGACCCACAAGAACCACTTAAAGTTTAAGATATGAGCTACCTCTATTTTCATTCTCAATTCAGCAAAAGGATCACAATGAATAGCAACTTGGTATTATCGATTAATTTATATGCCCCAAGTCACCACCGAGGACAGGCAGGAAGTTATGCTATCTCTGTTAATTCATTTAAACTTCACCACAGTTCTGTAAGATATTTAGCATTTTCACATTTTATAGATCAGAAAGCCAAGCTTTGAGAATTCAGGCAATTTTTCAAAGTCCCAGAAGAAAGCAGCAGTGTTAGGATGAATGCAGGTCTCAGAGGGAGGAGCCCACAGGCCACTACAGTAGGGTTCTGAAATCACATCAGCGTTCTGAAATCAAGCTGATTTAAGGAAGTGTTTGTGAACTTTCCAAATCCTAATGAAAATATGTGACAGTCAAAATACTGACTCCTGAAACAATAAGGTCTACCTAAGTTAGGGCTGAGCATGGGACAAGCACAGGCCCTTCCACTTGGTACATACATGTCCTGGCCCAAAGCTCAGCGAAGCTCTGTGCGCATGAAAAGCTAACACACTCTAAATGCTCAAGGATGAGAAACTGGTCAGGTATACCACCACATTCATCATACAATGGAAGATCAAGAATGCACTGAAAATGAAGTTAACAATCTGTATTTACCAACATGAAGATAAGTCCGTAAGACATTAAAACTGAAAATTTCCAATAAAACAGATAGTAAATCCCATTAAAAGCACTACTTTACTTAAACATTACAATATGCCTGGAAGACTGCTCATCAAAATATTAACATGGGTGATGATGGGAATGTAGATGACTTCAAATTTTTCATGAATTTCTGTATTGTTCATTAAAAGAAAATAAGGGTTGAATTTTTTTTTTTTTTAAGATTGATTTATTTATTTATATAAGCACTGGGTACAGTCAGAAGTGCGGGAGGGTGAGAGAATTCACCAGAGCCAGAGCGGGGAGCAGAGCAGGCAGAAGGACCGAAGTACACTGCTGAGGGGAGCAGCGGGCGGCAGGAGAGGCCTGCGCGCCATGTGGGACCCTCCTCCAGTGGCCGGGGAGCAGCCGGGGATCGAACCGGCGCTGCAGAGGCCGCAGGCAGCTTCGCAATCCAGCGCTCAACCACTGCACCACCGGGGAGACCCAAGGGTCGAATTTTTATAATTGGCTAACTGATAGCTATTTGTACAGATATTAGCAGGCAACACAAAGCTGATTTTTTTCCTATTTAATTACACATCTGATCTTAAAAATGATTCCACACCAGTAATGGCAGAATTGTTTCATGTTTAAATGATGGTGTAACATTTCATTATATGGATGTGCCATAATTAAACTGTTCAATACTGATGGGTGTTTAGATTGTACTCAACTTTTCTGCAGATACAAATATAGATGAAACAAATATATAACAAATCCTTGTTTATTGATCTCTGGACACATACTGAGTGTAAATAAATCCCAAATTGCCTTCCCCAGAAATTTTTTTTTTTTTTTTTTAAATAAATGAAGTGCCATTGAGACAGTACAGGACTGATTTCTCCCCTCCTGTGTGGTCACTGCAGCTCTCACAACCCTTACATTTTTATATTCTTTTGATAACTTATAAATAACTTTTTCTTGTAACAAATGCAGTTGTACATCTTCTTACATGTTTAAACATCAACCTTATGTCTGTCTTTTATTGTGCACTGTCTATTCACATCTATTCTCATTTTTATGTTTATGAATCTTTTCCTGATTAACAGAAATTAATTAAGAAATTATCTATAGTTTTATCTGTCCTGTGCTGCAAATTTTCCTACTTTGTCACTGTGTTTTCTGTGTATGTATATTTGTTGATACACTTATATATGCTATGCATAGGTATGCACACATTACACATGTGTGTACAGACATATAAATACACATATTTGTTTCCATGCTGTTAATTAACCTTATGGGAAAAAATTTTCCCATTTTTTCGGGGTACTTCTATGGGTTCATTTTTTTCACACTTAAGTCTTTGATCCTCCTGGAATTAATTTTGGTATATGGAATGAAGGAAGGAACCAAAATAATTTTTTCTACAGTAGATGGCAATCCATTTTTCCCTATACCATGTATTTAAGAATATATTTTTGCTCACCAGTAGTTACCATTTTTATTATACCTTTAATTTCTATATTCTTCTGTTCCATTGGACTCTTATTCTAAATAGTCCGGTTATGTGTAACACAGTTTTTATTATGTTTGATATCCAGTTGTTTAATTTCCTTTCTTATAGTTTTTTTTTCCATGGGCACACTTTTTTTTTTTTGGTATGAAGTTTAGAATCAGTTTGTCTAGTTTCAAATAAATTTTATGCAGCAGCTTCTCACCAAGGTGATCCCCAAGCTCCCTGCCTCTTGGTATTCATGCCTTTGAATAGTCCTCTCCTACACTACATCTGGATTGGTGGGTTGGTATGTGCGACCAAGAAAATAGAGAAGTGATGGAGTGTAACTTCCTAAAGTAGGTCATAAAAGCCACTGCTACTTCTGTTTGATCACCCACTTTGAGGAAGTCAAGCCCAGTGACAACACACAAGCAGTTCCATGTGGCGCCCACAGGCAAAGAACTGAAGTCCTTGCCCAGAGCTAGCACCCATGCGCTGACCGGGCTGAGTGAACCATCTTGGGAACAGAGCATCCCAGCCCCTGCAGGGACTGAAAAGACTCCTGCAGAAGCCTGAACAGTACTGAAACTCACAAGAGATCTCCAGCACCGTCCAGCTACCCGGAGCCTTAATTTTTGACTGCTAGAAGCTGTGAGATAACGAATGTTTAAGCCACTGAGTTTTGAGACAATTTGTTACACAGCAACAGACAGCTAACATATCCTGCTCGGGTTGTACTGGGATTATGTCAAATTAGAAGCTTTAGGGAAAATCAATTTCTTTAACAACTCAAATACAGAGAGCACTTTTTCACTTAAGTCTTCTGTACATCTCTCAGTGCCATTTTTTTTCTCAAGTTTTAATTATTTTTTACCCTTTCTGTTACTGAAAATGATCTTTTCTTCTAATGTAATTTGCACAGGTTGTTATTTATATATAGAAAGGTACTGCATCCAATCACCTTTCTGAATTCTCTTACATTTTGGTATTAGGTTTTCAGTTGATTTAGATCTTCCAGGTACACAATCTAAGCCTCTATAAATAATGATCTTTTTACCTCCTCTTTTATAATTTTTCTTACCTACTTTTGTCAGCTGATAGCTCCAGACTGCTAAATAATAAGGTGATGCTTTACCATTCAGTGAGAGGGCTTTTAAGAAAGAAAGATAATAGCATGGTGAGAAGTGTTCACCTATTCCCATGTCATTGTAGTCAATAAAGGGACTTGAATTTTACCTAATACCTTTTTATAACTTTTCTCTTAAGATATATTACCAGAGTAAATGATATTAATACATTTTAAGTGAATCATTCCTAAAGTGGTGAAGCTCTTACAATTATTTCTCCATTACTTAGTTCTTACTTATAAATTAATATAGACTCATTATACAGCAGCTAAAACAATAAAGCCATTCTACTTTGGAATAAATAGCTAAGAAAAAACTTACCTTTTCTAATCCCAAACTTGCCTCTGATCCCAAACTAATAATACAAACAATATCCTTGTGTATTATGTTCTAAAGCTTCCATAGCAATGTTTTATATGGAGTTGACATCAAAATAGTTTTAGTTCATCATTCCATCTAGTTAAATTAGTAAAAATTAAAACCTGTGAACAGTTAAGTATGATTCTGACCCACCTGTTGTACCTCAAAAGGATCATATGGCTCAGTATTGACACCTTGATGCATTATATTCCAAGACACCTTTGGGGAGAAAACAAATATTTAAATTCAATCTATCTTCCCTGCTCTAGTAAAATGAATTTATCACATAATAACATTTGAAAACATGCCCACTTTTGCGGCAGAGGGAGGAGGTTAAGTGCCAATTCAGATAATGTTTTATACATTCTACAAATACTTGTAATTAGGAGACTGTCATCCTTTAGAATTATTAAAAATGAAAATGATTTTGGTTCATTACTCAACCTATTTTTCAGAGCTTTCTGAATGAGTAGGGGGACAATCCAATAAGGTTTAATCAACTCATGTCCTACAAAGTTATCTACAATCTAAATTTATTCTCATGCTTATGAGGAAGGATCTTTATGTGCATCCATCCCTCTGGTGTCCCTCCATCTGGCTATCTCATTTAACTCCTCCCCTTAACAATCCCCACTCAGTTTGGCAAGACAAACTGGCACATGCAGCCCAGACACTTCCTTTATCCCTTCTCTTGGGAATTATCTGTGCAGAAAACACATGTTCCCTTTCGTCTCACTGCCCTGCAATAAGTACTGTGGGGTAGGCACCCCAAGTTGAGAGGCGCCCTGGTTAAGCACTGCTGTAACCTGGGGGGAAGCCAGGGTGCTATGGGCTTTTAGTGTTAGGACACATATTTTTTACAGAAACAGCCACATCTTACTTCTGCTAATATTTCTAATTATTGAGGTGACATTTTGGCTTCATCTGCTGATTCCACAATCTTATTTCTCAACTGGCACCAAAATTGGTAGGAATAACGATTTAAAAATTCTTTAAGATTATCCGCCATGCCCTACAAAAGGGCTCCTATTTTTTAAAGCATTTTCAAGTGAAAGCTTTAGTAACCAATATAAAATTAATCATCTAAAAAATTTAAGTAAATATAATGGCAATGAAAAAAGAAAATTTAACTTCTAGTAATAGAAGATGTTTTCTATTTAAGAATTTCCTGTATGGAAAAAAGCACACCACAAAAAGAAAACCACCCCCCAGATTGCAATGATAGTAACTTGGAAGAACTTCTGAGTCTTCCAGAAAGAGAATTTAAAATTGCCGTGATTAAAAAACTGACAGAAGTTATAAAGGAAAACAATGATAAGGGAAAAATAATCAACGATCAGAAGAATGAAACTGAGTCCCTAAAGAGGGAAGTAAAAGAAATGCAGGAGATCAAAGAATTAATGGAGGCGCTAAAGAACTCTGGGAAAAGCAATGAAAGAATAAATGAAATGGAAGAATGAATAAGTACTCTTGAAGACACAGAAATAAAAAGAACCAAAACAGAAAAGGAAAGAGAAGTACAAAGGAAAAAGACCAAAGAAAGACTTTGGGAACTAACTGACTCCATGAGGAAAGGAAATATAAGAGTTATAGGAATCCTAGAAGGAGAGGAGAGAGATGTACGAACAGAGAAAATATTCAAGGAGATAATTGAAGAGAACTTCCCAAACGTGAAGAAGGAGCTGAAAATTGAAGCAAGAAGAACACCAAAGCAAGAAGAACACCAAACTTCCACGACGAAAGGAAAAATACAGCAAGACACATAATAGTAAAGCTCCCAAATATCCAGGACAAGGAAAAAATAATGAAGCTGACAAGAGGGAAGAAACAGATAACATTCAAAGGAAAACCAATCAGACTGACATCAGACTTCTCTGAAGAAACACTACGGGCTAGGAGAGAGTGGAGGGACATAGCCAACAGACTCCAAGAAAACAGATGCCAACCAAGAATACTCTATCCCGCAAAGCTCTCCTTCCTCTATGAAGAAAAGTAAGGACCTTCCCAGACAAACAGAAACTCTGGAATTTCATTACGACTAAACCCCCACTCCAAAAAATACTACAAGGAGTCCTAAAGCCAGAACTTCAGAGGGACGAAGAACAACGAAAGAAGGCAAAAAAAAAAAAAAAAAAAGGGCCTCCCCTGGTGGCGCAGCGGTTGAGCGCTGGGTTGCGAAGCTGCCCACAGCCTTTGCAGCGCCGGTTCGATCCCTGGCTGCTCCCCGGCCACCAGAGGAGGGTCCACATGGCGCGCAGACCTCTCCTGCCGCCCGCTGTGCCCCTCAGCAGTGTGCCTCGGTCCTTCTGCCTGCTCTGCTCCCCGCTCTGGCTCTGGTGAATTCTCTCACCCTCCCGCACTTCTGACTGTACCCAGTGCTTATATAAATAAATGAATAATAAATCTTTTTAAAAAAAGTTATTAAAAGAATAAATAAATAAAATCAAAGGAAAGACAAACACAATGGCAAATACAGATGTTAACATATCAATATTAACTCTAAATGTAAATGGAATAAACTCTTCAATAAAAAGACACAGAGTTGCAGGCTGGAATAAGAAACAAAATCCAACCTTTTGCTGTCTCCAGGAAACACATTTAGCTACAAAAGATAAAAACAGACTCAAAGTTAAAGGATGGAAAACAATTTTACAAGCAAATGGACCAAAAAAGAAAGCAGGAACAGTTACACTTATATCTGATAAAACAGAATTCAAAATCAAAAAGATAAAAAGAAACCCCAACAGTCACTACATTATGATCAAGGGGACAATACTTCAAGAAGAAATAACACTCATTAACATATATACACCAAACGAAGGAGCACCAAAATATATCAGACAACTATTGTCATCTCTGAAAACAGACATCAGAGAAAACACATACGTAGTGGGAGACTTCAACACACCACTACCAACAATGGATAGATCAACGAGACAAAAAATAAGTAAAGACACTAAAGCTCTAAATAAGGATCTAGAGCGCTTGGGCTTAACAGACATCTATGGAACACTAAACCCAAAAAAATCTGAGTACACATTTTTCTCAAGTGCACACAGATCATTCTCCAGGATCAATCACATACTGGGAAACAAGACAAACATCAACAGATACACCAAGATTGAAATCATATGAACCATCTTTTCTGACCATGAAGGCATCAAACTAGAAATAAACCATAAAAAGAAGGCAAGGAACTCTCCTACCTCATGGAGATTGAAAACCACACTTCTGGAAGACCACTGGACTAACGAGGAGATCAAAGAAGAAATTAAAAAATTCTCTGAATTGAATGACAAGGAGGACACCAATTTCCTAAATGTATGAGATGCAGCAAAAGCAGTAATAAGAGGAAAGTATATAGCAACAGAGGCTCACATCAAGAAACAAGAAAGAACTCAAAGAAACAACCTAATCTCAAAGCTCAAAGATCTAGAAAAAGAACAACAAAAAAAAAACCAAAACCAGTATTAGAAATAATAAAAACCAAAGCAGAAATAAATGAAATCGAAACTAAAAAAACAATCCAAAAGATAAATGATACCAAGAGCTGGTTCTTCGAAAAAATAAATAAAATAGACAAAGCCCTAGCCAGGCTCACAAGGGAAAAAAGGGAGAAAGCACAAATAAACAGGATCATAAATGAAAGAGGAGAAATCACAACGGACACAGCAGAAATCAAAAGAATAATCAGTAACTACTATGAACAGTTATATGGAAACAAGTTCAACAATCTAGAGGAGATGGACAAACTCCTACAACTCTACAATCACCCAAAGCTAGATAAAGAAGAAATAGAACACCTAAACAGACCAATTACAAGCAGTGAAACTGAAATGGTAATCAAAAACCTCCCCAAAAACAAAAGCCCAGGACCTGATGGATTTACAAATGAATTCTACCAAACATTCAGAGATGAATTAGTGCCTATCCTTCACAAACTCTTCCAAAAAATTGAGAAGGAAGGGCTAATACCAAACACGTTCTATGAAGCCAACATTACACTAATACCAAAACTGAACAAGGACAACACAAAAAAAGAAAACTACAGGCCAATCTCCCTAATGAACACTGATGCAAAAATCCTCAATAAAATTTTAGCGATCAGAATCCAACAGTGTATCCATAAGATAATTCACCACGACCAAGTAGGATTCATGCCAGGGACACAAGGATGGTTCAACATCCGAAAATCAATCAATGTTATCCAACACATCAACAAAAGAAATATAAAAACCATATGATAATATCAATAGATGCTGAGAAAGCTTTCGACAAAGTGGAACACCCATTCATGATAAAAGCCCTTGAAATTCTTGGGATACAAGGAACATACCTCAACATCATAAAGGCCATATAGGACAAGCCAACAGCCAGTATCATTCTCAATGGTGAAAAGCTGAAAGCATTTCCATTAAGATCTGAAACAAGACAAGGATGTCCACTCTCACCACTGCTTTTCAATATAATACTGGAAGTCCTAGCCAGAGCAATAAGACAAGAGGAAGGCTTACAAGGAATCCAAATAGGAAAAGAAGAAGTCAAACTATCACTATTTGCAGATGATATGATAATATACATAGAGAACCCCAAAAACTCCACAGAAAAACTAATTAAACTCATCAATCAGTTCAGTAAAGTGGCAGAATACAAAATCAACACTCAATAGTCAGTAGCCTTCCTATACACAAACAATAAATCTGAAGAAGAAATAAAAAAAACCATCCCTTTTATTATCGAAACAAAAAAAAAATCAAATACTTGGGAATAAATCTAACAAAAGAGGTAAAGGACCTATACAAAGAAAACTATAAAACACTGTTAAAAGAAATAGAAGAAGACACAAAGAAATTGAAAGACATCCCCTGCTCATGGATTGGAAGAATAAGCATTATTAAAATGGCCATCCTACCAAAAGCAATATACAGATTCAATGCTATTCCAATCAAAATTTCAATGTCATTCTTCAAAGAAATAGAACAATTATTGATGAAATTCATATGGAATCACCAAGAACCCCGGACAGCCAAAGCTCTCCTGAAAAAAAAAGAAGGGAATGGAGGCATCACACTCCCAGACTTCAAACTATACTACAAAGCCATAATCATCAAAACTGCATGGTATTGGAACAAGAACAGACACAAAGACCAATGGAATCGAATAGAAAATCTAGAAATAAACCCAAAGATTTATGGTCAACTAATCTTTGACAAAGGAGCAAAGAATATGCATTGGAGCAAAGAAAGTTTGTTCAATAAATGGTGCTGGGAAAACTGGGTCGCTACATGCAAAAGAATGAGCTTGACTACTACCTCACACCACACACAAAAACCAACTCAAAATGGATTAAAGAACTAGACATAAGACCTGAAACCATAAAATACATAGAAGGAAATATAGGTGAAACACTACATGATATGTACATCAAAGACATCTTTACAGACACATCACCCAAAGCAGTGATAGTGAAGGCAAAGATAAACAGCTGGGACTACATCAAATTAAAGAGCTTCTGCACAGCAAAAGAGACAATTAACAAAAACAAAGAGAAACCCCATCAACTAGGAGAACATTTTTGCACACAACACTAATGATAAAGGACTAATCACAAAAATCTGCAAAGAGCTGATGAGACTCAACAAAAACAAAGGAAATAATCCAGTCAATAAATGGGCAGAAGAGCTAAAAAGAAACTTCTCTGAAGAGGAAATGCAAACGGCCAACAGGCATATGAAAAAATGTTCAACATCACTTGTAATAAGGGAAATGCAAATCAAAACTACCATGAGATACCATCTCACACCAGTGAGAATGGTACATATTAAAAAAACTAGCAACAACAAATGTTGGATGTGGAGAAAAAGGAACTGCACTGTTGGTGGGAGTGCAAACTGGTCCAACCACTATGGAGAGCTGTGTGGAGATTTCTGGACCTACTAAACATAGAGCTTCCATAGGATCCAGCAATTCCACTACTAGATATTTACCCAAAGGACACAGAAACATCCATTCCAAAGAGCACCTGCACCCCTATGTTTATAGCAGCACTATTTACAATAGCTAAGCTTTGGAAACAACCCAAATGCCCAAAAATAGATGACTGGATCAAGAAGATGTGGTACATATACATGATGGAATATTACTCAGCATTCAAAAAAGTTAAATACATGCCATTTGCAGCAACATGGATGGTGCTGGAAGGGATCATGCTCAGTGAAATAAGCCAGAAAGAAAAAGAAAAATACCGGATGGTCTCACTCATAGCAGGAATCTAGAAAACTTAAATAAGGGACCAGGAAAATGAATAACTATAAGAAAGTGAAAATCAAAATCAACAAAAAACTATGAACCAGAGATACTCTATGGGAGGTAGGGGGTGGGGAGGGGAGGGATTGGGGTCAAAATAAGGGGGTTGCTAATTGTATGGGGAATATAAAAATAAAATTTATAATTAAAAAATAAATAAATAAATAAAAAAGAATTACCTGTATGGCAACCATTTTTGCAAGTGGACTATTTGTTACTTCGTTTGCACTTTCTGGGTTTTCTTCCAACTTGCTGGCAGCATCTCCACAGTGACCATCACTCCCCTCAGAGGTGCTCTGGGCTATACCAGTACTCTCTGTGCTGCACTGTGACTCCACTGGCATTTCTGAGGAGTTACGACAGATCTGTGTTTCACAGGCGATCTGGTTACCAGGGGCATTCTCAACAGGCAAATGCTGACCCTCAAAATATGCAGTAGCATTTTGATCTGGTCTTTCACTGGCTACGAAGGACGGCACCACTGGCACTGATCTTTGCAGCTGATATTCAGAAGAAACAGCCAGAGGTGTGTAAATGCTAGTGTACTGGGGCAAGCTCGGCAATACATTAATGTATGTGGGTGGTGTCTGGGTAATGTCAAATCCCCGAAAGGGGAGGTAAGTACAGTATCCTGTGACTATCTGGGGTTGAGTCCAATAGGTTGTTGGTTTCACATCCTCAGGAACTGGTGTGGGAGAATTGGGAGGGACCCCTTTGGGCTTCACATCCTCAGGAACTACTCCGGGAGGATTATCAGATACAGGTTTTGGCTTCAGGGTCTCATCAGCTGGTTTGGGAGAATTAGCAGATACTGGTTTGGGCTCCTCAGAAGTTGGTGCTGAAGATAAATCTGATACAGATTTGACTTTTACATCTGGTTTAAATTCCCTAGCTGCTGGATTTAGTGGTAGTTTAACTCGTAAATATTCTCCAGATTTTGAAATTTCTTCTACTTTTGTCTTAATGTTTTTCTTCTTTCTCTTTTTCTTGAGTCGTGATGCAACTTTCTTCAATGCAATACAATTGTCAATCACAACAAAACGAGGACATCCCAGGAGAAAAGATTTCAAGCCTCCTGCTTTTTCTAGGATCTGTCGAGTTTCTTCTGGGAAGAATTCATATTCTTCAGAGAACATCTTATTACTCATGTCCAAGGGACCATGTTCCTCCAACAACTGTGAGAAGTAACTTGGGAAAAATTTACATTTACTTGAATTATTACAAGAAGTACTTGTGTATGTTTAATAAAAAGTATTTCCCAAAAATTCTCCTAAAGCCAAGTACTATTTTCACTTCTCACTGATCTCAACCTCTCCCCAACAAACATTATCTATTCATATGAAATCTGCATAAAGTTAACTGCAATCAATGATACTATAATCAAAATTTTGTTGAAAATAATCCTTTGAAATTTTTGGAAAAATAGCAAATATTAAAGTTATTTTAAAAATTTCAATTACATTATATAATCTTCTTACAAGGCAGTGAAAAGCAAGAAAACTTACTAAAGAAAAATAACAAGGCTATCAAATGAGAAGAGGAAATCGAAAAAAAAAAAAATCCTACAGGAATTTGCATATAGTAAACCTGTTAAGATTTTTCTGTTTAGGAATGTGGAATGATTCAGAAGTACTAAAATGCAGGATGTCTGATCAATAAGCCAATATAGCAATGGGTGTTCCTTCATCTGCCTCCTGCTCTATGGTGGCCTTGTTCACTTCATTCTGGGTCTCTCTTTTTATCCCACTCTTGGGCCAGACTCAGAGAGATAGCGCACTTCCACTGGAATTTGGTATTCAGCCTACAGCAGTGGCAAATTAGCAAGAAAGACACACACCACACACCACTAAGACTTTTAAAAGACTGAAAATTTCCAAAGGAACTTTCCTGGTAAATCAATGCTAACCAGGAAGAAAAGTTATTTAGGAGGAAGGTAAAAACAACTTCATAAATGCTTAGGACAAATTAAAATAATTCACCTCTATTCAAAGCCACTGATACTCAGATGCATAAAGACCAGTATCACTGCTCTTCATCAGCAATGCTCCCCTAAATATTCAAGTCACCAAACAATCTCTTTTAAGGTGTTTATTGATGACTATTTCCCCCCGATAGAATAATCTTTATAATATTAGCTCCCTAAATATATGTTGCTGTGCAAGGTAACAGGTTTAAATATACCTTTGAGCTAAGATTCTTATCATGCTTTATTTCTAAATGAGAAATCTCTGGAAGTAGAAGGGGTAAAGGGAGGGTGAGGTAAAAAGAAAAATCGCTGGTCAGAAACAGGAATTCTTGTTGAGGGCCTTTGTTGACAGGTGTGTATGTTTTAACATCAGTCCACCACCTGTCCAAATAGACCTTCCAGGTTGGTGTTTAGTTGCCATTAAGCAAACAGAGTCATCCGTAAATGGTGGATATGTATTTGCTTATTTGCTCTCCATGATGAATAATAAAGAAAATCATTGGGGGAAAAAAACCTTTTCTAGCTGGATTAAAATACTTGAATCGAAAATGGGACAATTAAAGCACAGAAACAACATGAAAGGAAACCAGTAATTCAGCAGCCAGTTTCTCAATAGCCACAGGGGATCAGGACATAAATGATGATGTACATCTGGGATCACTGCCAAGCAACTAAAAAAAGTTGTGTTCTCCAACAGAATATTACTCAGCATTCAAAAAAGATAAACACATGCAATTTGCAGCAACATGGATGGAGCTGGAAGGGATCATGCTCAGCGAAATAAGCCAGAAAGAAAAAGAAAAATACCGGATGGTCTCACTCATAACAGGAATCTAGAAAACCTAAATAAGGGACCAGGAAAAAGAATAACTATAAGAAAGAAAAAATCAAAATCAACAAACAACTATGAACCAGAGACACACTTTGGAGGGGGGTGGGGAAAGGAGGGGTTGGGGTCATAATCAGGGGGTTGCAATTGTATGGGGAATATAAAAAAAAAAAGTTGTGTTCTTGAATAGTCAAGGATATGAAAAAACGCTCACCATGCATTTTTAGTTGAAAAGGACAAATGACATAGCCAAGTAATAAAATCAGTTTGTAAATTTGAAAAAAATGTTTTATACATATGTGAAAGGCTATACACTGAAAATTAATTATGCTTATACTGGGTGGTAGCATTAATCATAATTGTTATTTTTGCCTTTAAACTTTACTTAAAAAAGATTTGAGGAGTCCAGCAAGATGGCCACGGAATTAAGATGCTGGGTTTGCCTCCTCCATACTCTCACAATTAGATGCAGCAGAATGAAGCCAAACCCCCGAAGGGAAAAACGGATGACCACAGCACACACTAGGAGCAAAGGTCTGGTGGAAAGGGGTAGAAAAAACTTTAAATGAACCATGTTTATTTTGATAGCAGGCAATACAACCCCCAAAAGGAAGGGAGGGAGGGAGAGCACCCTACAGTTGCTGACACAGGAGCACAGGCTAATAAATGGGAACTCCTGCAATGTGGCACTGCTCTGGATAAGGGGGAGCTCAGCAGTGGCACCCAGGACACCTTTGAAGAGCTACAGGGCTGAGGATGCAGAGCAAGGGTTGCTGGTGTGAACTTGAGTTTTTCAATCTAGAACAGCTGGAGTTTGAACTGAAGGAAAGCTCCAAGAAGGTAGGAAACAGATTTATTGTGATCACTTTTCACTGTTTATAAATGTCAAATCGTTATACTGTACACCTCAAATGAATGTGTTATAATTATACATTATAAAAAAGTTTAAAGAAAAACAATTCACTTTCTTACTTTAAGGTGATATATTTAAGTCAAGAAAAAGTTAATAGCAGTTATTCCAGTGTTCTTGACTTATTGTCTAATATTTTTTCTTTTTTGAAGATTTATTTATTTATACAAGAACTGGGGTACAGGCCAGTACCTCTCTCACGGGAGGGTGAGAGAATCCACCAGAGACAGAGCAGGGAGCAGAACAGTCAGAATGACCAAAATACAGTGCTGAGGGGAGCAGCGGGCGAGACAGGAGAGATCTGCTGCGCCATGTGGAAATCTCCCTGGCTGGCCGGGAATTGAACCGGCGCCGCAGAGGCTGTGGACAGCTTCACAGCGCTGTGCTCAACCCGTGGGGCCACTGGGGAGGCCCCTAATATTTTTTCTACTCTACATTCTTTACAAAAAGAAGTTTAGTTTCAGTTTTCTTTCTTTCATCTACTAGCCAATAAAAGGCATCATCATTTTTAAGTTGATCGTTACATGTTTACTTTCGAAAAGTCAAAGAAAGAACTAAGTTTTGAGGTTCCATGGCCTGTAACTTTCTGGCTTTTTCCTATAAGATATAAAAATGTACGATATGCTATCTCAAAATACAAACAAATCATTTTCCTCAAAGTTGTTTAAATTCTTCCTTCTTATAGTGGTAATAAACTTCTGAAAACTACACAGTTTAGCTTCAGTTTTAGATAGATGGGATAAAATTCAGCATATTTTAGATAGATGGAACAAAATTCAGCATTTTAAGAAGTTATAGTACCGTTTTATAGTCATTTCCACATTTGTCATCCAGGATTTCTCAGGATATACAATTTGCTCAGTTTTATCTCTAAAAAAATACCATGAAAAGGGAACCTAGATTGAATAGGCATGATATAACTGAGGAAAAGAGAATAACCAAATTATGTGTTGATGGACAGGTTTTTTTCAGGATAGCTAGTTTTCAAATTAATTTTGTTGCAGATCTTAGCCCTCACCTTCTTTCAAGGAAGACAATAATGCCGAGTTAAAAATGGTAACTGCCTCATAGATTTCCTGAACCCCTTCACTCAATTTTATCCACCTTACTCATTTCTTGACATAACTGTTAATTTCACATTCACATTTTCAATGTAAAAGTAACTCAGACCCAAAGTTACTTAAAAATAAACCTATATCTCTTTTACCAGATCAATGTCAGGAATTCAAGTTTCTAGTACAATGCAAGGATACAATTTTTTTTTTTAAGACTTATTTACTCATGCATACAAGAACCAGGGTACACATCAGATGTACAGGAAGGTGAGAGGATTCACCAGAGACAGAGTGGGTAACAGAACAGGCAGACTGACTGAAATACACGGCTGAGGGGAGCAGCGGGTGAGACAGGAGAGGTTTGCTGCGCCATGTGGGCATCTCCTCAGATGGCGGGGATCGAACCCATGCTGCTGAGGCTGTGGACAGCTTCACAGCGCCGCGGCTCAACCACCTGCGCCACCAGGGAGGCCCGATTCAGTTTTATATCTCTATAGCGCTATCATCCCAACAGAACAACTATTCTCCCAGCCAAACCAGTCGTGTGATCCTGGCATCCTTTCCCCAATAAAAGGGTAACACTGTACCCAGCTATATTACTTTCACTGGACTTAACGAAATGCCAAGCATCCATCAACACTGGGACAAGAGCAATCATTATACTCTTGTCAAATGTATACCCTGGAATTCATGATGAAAACATTATCATCATGACTGGAAACCTTATCAGCCCTATCAGGATATACCAGGACTGTTTTAGAAGTGGAATGTATCTTCATTTATCATTAGGATTCTAAATTTAATAATAAAAAAATTTAAAAAATTCTTAATTAATTCTAATACATGACAAAAGTTGTAAAATACTTTTCTTCCCTAGAGTTTGAGAGTCAATAAATACCTGTAATAAATACAAGCAACACCAATTAAATTGACAATTTTTAACTGGCAGCCTCTGTATAAAATAACACTTGTAGAAATGTTAAACTACTTACTCATAGAGAGTCGAACATTTCTGTTTTGGATTAATGTCCCATAGCTTCTTATTACGGAGAACATATTCATTAGTATGCTGTTCATAGAGGGCTTCAAATTCTTCTACATCTTGCCGAAGATGGTCAGGCACTACAAATGGGCCTGCAGAATTTGAATTGCGCCTACTGATTAAAAAAAAAAGTGAATAATAAACTTCTAGGAAAACCAGAATAGCTGAAATAGCAACATACTATTCAGCTTTACAATGCAAAACACTATCAGAGAATTAATACAGAAAACTTACCCTTCCACAATTACAATCGAGAGATAGATATCTGACTATTGAGTAAACTTGAATAAACACTTTTAATTATTTACTCTTGCTTTAAAAGCTAATTTTAAAAACTCCTGGATTTAAAAAAAATCAATGTAGCATTTATTTTAACTTGTTAATAACAGAGAAAAATGAGAACTTTTCTTGTAACTGCTATTAAGTTAAAGTAAGATTGAGACTGGTAATAGGTACTTAATAAAAAGAGTAGTTTGAGCATGGGCTCCAAAAACCGGATTGCTAGGTCTAAATTCTGACTCTGCCATGTGCTCCTGAGCACACTGCTCAACTGTGACTCCATCTCTCCACGTTAAAACAGATGTGATAGTGGACATATGTTCTTGAGTAGAAGACCGGATTAAATGAGTTTATGGGATTATGCATGTAAAACCCTTAGAGGGGTGCCAGGTACAGATGTGTTAGCTTAGTACAGGCTATTATTGTTTTAACTTAAAACAACTCCTCCATTTAAAGAATTCATGGAAATAACTATGCAAAACAACTGTTATTACAACGCCATTAAGAAAGTGGGGAGGGGGGTGTCATTTTGTGGGAGTTTGGTCCGCAAAGGAGTATGATGTACAAAAGTCACTGTTCCTCACTATTTTATTTCTTTGTATGTCAATTTGTTTCTTGCAGACTCAATTTCAGGAACCAGATGCCACTGAAAATCACCAACAAAGGTTAAAACCATAACATCAATTATAGCCTCCAAAACATCTTCCTCTCTCATATTACAGTGAGCATACTATTTATCAACAGACTATTCTTTTAATTGAACATTTTAAAGAATAATTTCTAGGATTTTCCCAAAGTACCTTATACATGGTTGGTCATCAATTTAGCTAGTAAGTCATGACTTTAATGCATTTGTATGAATTCTTAACATCAACCAGCCATACTATAAATTCACCAAAATGGGTCACCTCAGGTAGTCATCATATATGCATATTTTTAGGCAGACAAGTTAGGAAAATAAAACACAAGTTTAAGAACATTAAATTAATACCATTTTATCAGTGAAAACATCTGAGTTAATATAAAGCAAAAAACTTCTAATTATACTTACTTATGGTCTTCATTTGAAGTAATAGTCTCATTATTTGGAGTTACCGACGTTGTTCCAGACCCAACTAACAGAGGCTGGTTTAAAAGACAGAAAAATGACTATGATTTTTTCTACCTTAAAATTCCATGGAAAAAAAATACCATTAATACACCAATGAATGTTTATAGAAATATGCACACACACTGCCAATACATAGCTAAGTTTTCTGGCAAAGAGGAAAATGCATAATAATAAAAGCTTCAAATATAGATCCAAATAACATTTAGGTGGCTTCCAATGCTACAAAAATATTTAAATGTCACTCAGTTAAACTACTATTTTAGATAAAATGAAGACATAAAGTCAAAGATAAAAAGAAGAGTTTCATTGGACTTTATAAAAAGCTGCTCTCGGGCCTCCCCTGGTGGCGCAGCAGTTGAGAGCTGGGCTGCGATGCTACCCGCAGCCTCTGTAGCTCCGGTTCATTCCTGGCCACTGGCGAGGGTCCCATAAAAAAATAAATAAATAAAGGCTGCTCTCACCTCCAGTACAACTTGTTCTCTTTCTCAACTTCCCCCTTATCTGACTCCCAAATACATGAGTCATGAGGAATCCACCACAAGACATAAAAATAATGCCTTATTTATTTCACGAGCTTGAGGCAGAACTTCAAGAGAAAGAATCCTATCAATCCCGAGATATAACTAGTACTCATCAACCTCATTTTGAGTATTTTAGGCAATAAATACTTGAATGGAAATAATTCCAGTGAAAGCTTTAGAATACTGGAAACTATTGTTCTGCTTTCTTAACAACTATAAAATCCAGTTTAACAGTAATATCATTAGGTAACAATTACTAAGCATTTATTACCTAATAAGCACAATAACTGTATTATAGTTACTGTAATCGGTATCACAGATGATAACATAAGGAACTCAAATAGTTTGACTAAAGTCACATAGATTAATAATAATTGTTGCTATTATTATTGATAAAACCAACATATAAACACAGAACTGCCTGACTCTGAAGCCACCTTGGCCACTCTCTATAATCACCCACACAGATTCCTACATTATGACAGTGTTTTAACTCAGAAATAGCTAGAAAGTAAAACCGACAAGAGAGGTATCTCTCTTGAAAATATTAACCTTACGTTTCCTCAAAATGTTGAGAACACCAAAATTTTTTTATAGTCTATAAACTCTTTTGCTACAAAATGGTTCAAAATATCCCAGAAATTGGTTATTTCTAATTTACACAATTAATTTAGATAAGAATACAGAAAATGAACAATACCTTTGAATCTTTTGGCTTCTTTTTCTTGCCTTTGTTTTTAATCTTGGTAGAATTAAACTGAAAAATGGGGGGAAATCAAGAAACACTCAAATAATAGTACATGAAGGTCAACATAAATGTAAATAAAATTTTCCATTGGAAAATGTAAAATATGTAACTATTTTCAGTTTACATAAAAAATGCTCAAAAACACAATATTGTCAGCTTTTGTATTATGACTTAGAACAGAAAATAAAAAGCTTAATGATACCTAATGCTGTAACTAAACTTTTAACTGTTTTAATATTTTAAACTCACTTTCAACAAAGTTTATAGTATTTTAATTGGACTTTTAAAAAAAAGTAATTCCAGTTAAGTGCTCATAGCATTTTCATGATAATCCTTTTATTAAAACCAACTAGACATCTGCACGAGATGTGGCACAAAGCGAATTTCAGGAAGTATTTAACTTGCCATAGAGTGCAGTAATTGTGCTTCCCTGCTAGCTGGGTAATATTGGATAGCACTGATTAAGACAAATTTCAACTATAAATCAGGTGATGATTTAACAAATCAGTAAATAGCATCTTTCTATTTGAAAACTGCCACAATATAAAAAGGACTACTTGAATAATTATAACTTAAACTCAATATGGAGTCATTCAAAATAGTCTCTTGTTTTTCTTAGAGCAGAAAATCAAAAGTTTAGTTATCAGAGAGAACGTCCTTTCTCTGCATGGCAGTGGCTCAAACACTATGGAGAGTCCGTACGGCTCAGCGTCTGTCTGGTGCCCCAGTTCCAAGAGGATGGTCAGGGTTAGCTTTCTCATGGAATAGTGTGCAAGACCCAGAAATCCTCTGGATCTGGCTTGGAATGCCCCTGCGATGGAAATAAATTCTGGCCTGGGCCATCCTCTCTCTCTTTGGCTAAATGAGAAGACAACATTGGAAGTGACCGAGTAACTCACAGGCACGTCACCACTGTCTTGTTTCCTGAGCACAGTACAGCGGCTGTCTGCAGGAAGACACGGATAGATGGTTTTGTGAGGAAATGAAACCAGTTACATTGCCATGCAGTCCTATCAAGTCCCAGACACTACTGACATCAATTATGCTCTCCTCATTTGATTTCGACACAGTTTAGCTTAAAACAGAGACCAAAATGGCTAACTATATGGGAAAGTAGCTACAAAGAACCACAAAATTTCAGTCCAGTTCACATCATTTGAGTGCCGTCTGGGTGTCCAACTCTATGCTATGCTAAATGCTGGGAATACAGCGATGCACAGAACATGCCATCAATAAGCCCTTGTTCTACAAAACAGACTAATGCGGTGTCACAGTACAGTGGAAACACAGTCGATGGGATAATAAAGTTTTCAAGGGGAGAGGCCCAAGGAGGGACTTGGGAAGAGTTTGGGAAAGACTTGAAATGAAGATGCAAAGGGGCAGGACATGACTGGAAGCACTGTATGGGCAAAGACAGGAGGCAGGAAAGTACAAGGCAGGTTTGGGCACAGTAAGTGGGGTCTGTATTCAGAGGCTAGAAAAGGAGCGTGATGAGAAACCCAGATGGACAACATGGCTTTTATATGTAAATGTTTCCCAAGTAGATGAGAGTGACTGATGTCACTAGTGGCAAGGCAAGAGAAGATCCGGAATGGGAAGTCAGAAGCATGGGGACCAGTTCAGAGACTACTGCAATAGTCAAATCAAAGAAAGATTATTATTGTCCTGGCCTAGGGAAGTAGGAATGAATAGTTAAGGACACATTAAAGAAGCTTGTTTGATTTAGTGATGAACTGAATATGGGTAACAGAGAAAGGGAATAGTTAAGACCAATTCCAGGGTTTCCTCTTAAAAACAAGATACACAACAAGGCTATTAACACATAAGTTCAGGAAAAAGAGTTTTCTAGGGACACAAGTAGGCTCAGTCACATCGCTCTTAAAGGGCTTCTTGGATGTTTACACAAAAATTCAAGCACAGAAATATGCATCAGACTTCAGTAATTAGGCTCCTAATTAGGTAGAGTGGTGACATCACTGATACTTTAGTTACAAGATCAGTGATTCTGGATTGTGTTAAGTAATTATTATCATTCCTTTAAATATAAAAAGAGATAGTTGGAAACATCTGGGGTGAGGATGGTAAGGAGAGCTATTGGATTTGAAAACCTCTGGCCAGTCATTTGGTTGGTGGCTTCTGACTCTACGACTAAATGCAGAGAAACAGTCACAGCCAGAAAGACTAATATTTTAGGTTCAGAACACAGCAATTAGGCAGCTCTCCTTCCTGTCTGCCTGTGACTATGAAGGTGTCTCTCTTTTTCCCTTTCTCCCAATAAACCTGTACTTTTAAAATGTGAAAAAAAAAAAAAAAGAAGAAGAAGAACACAGCAGTTAAGAAAAATGTATGGAGAAGGAATTGTCTTTTTTAACTATCTTGTTTTATGATCCAAATATGCAGGAGGCAATATAAAATCAGTTCCAGCACAGTATTTTATTATCCACAGCAGCAAACTGAGGGCAATAAATACAGGCTATCAAGCAGCATGTCACCTCTAGTCTTGAAGCTGTGTCCTGGAAAAATAAAGTCATCTATATTTGAGTGTGCTCCATGCTAAGCACTATGAGAAAGTTAGCTTCTCAGCTTCTTGTATCTGTACTCTGTAACATGTGACACCTCTGTACAACGCCTGACCCTGTAAAACAGCATGAAGTTAAGTCTCACTCCTGACATCACCCAAAGTAGACTTCTGACGCTGGCAGTGGATAAGACTGACAAAAGAGACATATGAAGTACCAAAGATAAGAAACTGAAATAAATTTAGAACCCAAGAAGAGTACCAGAATTTTGAGGCAAAATGGCACCTCATAGATGGTTTCAAATCCTCTCATTTTAACAATGAAGAATCCAAGATCTCAGTGAGGCTAAGGAATTAACTCCTAGTTATCCTATTCCGCCAAACTGGACTCCACGTCCTTACTCACATTGGTCCCCAGTTCTCCAACTTGTCCAACTCCACCTCCACAGCTCAGCTCAGACTCTACTCAAGCATCCAGAACTCAGACTCTCCTCCCCAGGGTGAACCACGTGCTCATTCCTCCACCTGAGCCCCTTGGCACTTATTCTGGTCCTTTTGTGCTGCACTTATTCCCATATTGGATTTACATAGATGCATCTCATTTCCTTTTCTAGAACATAAGGTACCTGATGGCAGGGAATACTATAAGCATTTCTGAATTCCTTGTTAACACTTAGCTCAGGACACTGTAGCAGCAGTAAAAAGGTTTTTAGTGAATTGGCAATGAAGAGTCTGAAGCAGTCTACATATCCTGGCTCCCAGTTCTAGGCTCTTTCCACAACAGGTATGCTAGCTGCTCTAGATTCTACTTCTGCAGGCCAATGTTATCGTGAATGTTACAGATCAAACCACTTCCTACTAAATTCCACCCATTTAATATGTAATCTTTTCCATGATACCGTCAAAGTATCTTAGATGAGAATGGTGTGGTGTGGTGTCCGTGAAACGTACCCATTTGAGCTTATGTCACAATTGAATAAAGAGGTTTTAGGATATAAAAAAATCACTATTCTTAATCACTATTCCCCCAAATAAGCCAGTTAATAGCAGCATAATAATTTTCACTATAATCTTTGTTAGATATTTGAATAAGATGGAATTTGCATTAGTTACTGCTTTTTACCCAAATCCTTCACAAATTTTCCCCCTAAGATTAGATATAATATAAATCAAAATTCAGCACACATACCCATTATATCAAAGAATTCATCTAAAGCATTGTGTAGGGCTGGAAACTTCTCTCTGTGTTCTTCTAGCAGCCATATCAAACATCGTGCTTCCTTCAGTGATGTTGGTTCATAGAAATAATCAAGCTGCTTTCCTTCTATAGAACCTAGTTTATGACCGTACTTCTCATTCCAGAGAAAAGTCATGATGCTAAAATCAAGCTCCTTGAGAGATGCTCCATAACGAGAAAAAAATGGTCCTGTAGCATCTAAGCCTATAAAGAAAACGAAACCCAAATCGGAAGGGAGAAATTATATATTGTAAAATCACAGTTTCACATCTTTAAGAAGGGTTTCATTATAGTTTGCTCCCATCCTCAGTAAAAACATTTAAATACTTGAAAATAAACTTCAAGCTATTGTTCAAGCTATTACATTTAAACAATATTTAACATCAATATGCTTAACTATTCAATACATTTTGATTAGACCGAGGAGATGAAAGGCACTAAATTCCTTTAAAATACAGTAATTTTCACTAACTCATGACTTTATTTCAATTAGTACAAACTAGCAAACTTTTACAATACTTTTCTACAGAGTCCATAGTGACAAAGCATCAATAATATGCAAATGCTTTCTAAATGCCTTTCTAACAGAAAATGGGTAAATTCCTTCCCCAACACTGCCAAGAACTGCTGCTCATTCTCCAAAATACCATGGCTTCTATCAAAAATCAAGGTGATCATTATTCCTGCTTTTATTCCTCCTTGTCCAAATCAGGAACAAGGTGGCTACAAACCCACACATTTCTTCTAACAGAAGGATGATGAAACCTGCTCCTTACTAACACTGCCACCAAAAAGCCAAGATGAACTCTGTCCATCTCTAATAAAGCACTGGCTCCTGGTTCTCATTAGCAAAAGAAGCAGACAGCCCATTCAAAATTACCCTGCCCTGTGTTCCTTCTAGATTACACAGTAAGCTTGCAGAGGTCATGTTGCATTAAAAGTCACAATCTTTAAACAGAATCAGAAAGACCACGTAAAAAATATTTGTAGGTGGTTTCAGGGAACCATCAATTAAAAAACACCAGAGCCAACACACCTCCTTTCAGGGTGTACATCAGAGCATGTGAGGTAGCAGGGGAGGTGGCGGGTGCCTCTGGCATGGCTGTGTGTTGCTTCAAGAAGGGAAGCAACACAGCTGCCTACTAATTCACCCACTGTGTTAGGCTAGTTGCTATCAGAGTCACCAGGAAAGGGCCCCAAGATGGGGCCCAAAGACATAGCCACCTAGCATTACACAGCAATGTTGCAGTTGCCTTCTGCCTGCTTAGAGGGTCATCCTCAACATTCCTTCTCCCAGCTAAATTAGAAATATCACAAGTTTTTATAATCCTGTGATTCTTAACAGCCCAGTTCAACCCCAGGAGACATACATAAATACCTACATATACCATTAGCCTTTAGAATTGCCTTAGGTGATACCCACTTATTAATCCTTAGGTAAGAGATTTACTTTAGGTGATCTTAAGCAATTAGTTCCATCCACTCTTTCCTCTAAATTTTCCTTTAAGGAATCTGACTAGTGAACTGCACAACCCCAGAGGGCACAGCACAAGCAGCCAACTCCAGGGGGCGCTAGTTACCCAGGGCTGTGCCTAGCATTACATAGCTATCACATTACAAATAATGATAGTTTTAGGGCCTCCCCTGGTGGCACAGCGGTTGAGTGCTGGGCTGCAAAGCTGCCCAGCTGCCCGAAACCTCTGCAGCGCCGGTTCAATCCCTGGCCACTGGCGAGGGTCTCACATGCCACGCAGACCTCTCCTGACGTGTCTACTGCTCCCCTCAGCAGTGTATTTCATCAGTCTGCCTGTTCTGTTCCCTACTCTGGCTCTAGTGAATTCTCTCACCCTCCTGTGCTTCTGACTGTACCCAGTGCGTGCTTGTATAAGTAAATAAATAAATAAATCTTTAAAAAAAAAAACCAACAACAAATAATGATAGTTTTGTATATAGGGTAGGATTTTGTTACTGATTAAACTTCCACACTTTTGAAAAAAACAGATTTTAACCTATCTATAAAATAGCCTAAAAGTCATAAGTCAGGGGAGGTACTAAAATTTCAACCACACAAGTGTACAGTCCTGCATTTTAAAAAAATCATAAATGATAGGAAAATGAAAATGGATTCTGAGGCCCGTGTTTATCCTGCCTACAAACCACATCTCTAGAATGAAGTGACTTACCAAAGCTATTAAGTTTCTGGATCCAGGTAGCCAGTTTTGGCTCTACTTCTTTAAGTTCACTCAGAACATGCAGAAATATTCTTGTCTTTACTCTATTCTTCTCTTGAATTAAGTGACAGATGACATAGTCCACTGCTTCATTTAGAAAATTTCTGCTAGAGAAACATGTAGTATAGTCTTCTGTGCTTAAGACCTTCCAAGAAAGCAGCTCTTTGAGAAGCTTGGAAGTATTCAGTATACCAGATTTAATCTTGTCAGCATACTGCTTTATGCACTGCAGAATTCTGTCATCAAGGAACTGGCAACTCTGAACATTGTCTATAGTTTCTAAGGGTAAAAAACAGCGGTCAGTAAAATGAAGTAATAGGACTAATTTGCAAAGCTATAAACTCAGAAGGAAATATTACACTATAATATAAAACATGACTCAGATCATGTTGTTTTAAATAAACACTTCAAGAAATTTAACATTAGAAATTAAATTTCATTTATATTTAATAAATACAAATATTTAACATTACCATTGACAAGTTCACGTTAAACCAAACCTCTGAAAAGTACCCACCCGATCTCCTTCACTCTGCACCACTCAGGTAACATCTAAAATCCTAGTTCCTTTCAAGTGAGGTTACTTCCTTCAGTCTCATGAACGATCTACATTTTGTAGTTAATATTTCATCAATAAGCATGTAAAAAGTGCTTATTTTTTTAAGAGTTGAAAGGATTATTATTTATTCAGTTATGAATTAGCTAATATTTGTAGTCATTGAGGTATTAGTCATCTTATCATTGGACACTAAGATTACAGACTCCATGATGGAAAATACCTCAGTATCTCATCTTCCCACCCCGCATCTCCCTGATGGCCAGTTAGCCCTTTGAAGCACGCAAGGTTAAAACACAAACATTCACTGAAAAATTTTTTATTGGGACAGAATTTTGATTGCTTGTGAAACACTAATGAAATACTAAGTAAAAAATATAGACAGCAAGAGGGAAAACTTCATTTGGGAAATAGTGATAGTAATAGTAAAAAAATGAGAAAAGCTGATTTCCATTCAAAACTGAAAGTAAGTTAGTCAACCTGTCCACAGGAACACTGAAATTACCAAGACATTCCCATGTCAATCAGGTGACAGGTGAGTATAAAACTGTGAGACTTACAATAGGCATGTCAGATATTTTCAACTTCACAGTGACAGTATTAAAACACTAACATACCAAAACTTCAATTCAGTATCAATTAATACAAGACCGAGTTTTATTTACACTTTTAAGCATTCCAAGCATGCCTGAACTTCAGCATACCTTTTTGCTCTTCAGTTTTGGGTGGATTACTCTCCCGTAAGTCCTCTTCCATTCTTTCTTGTGCTAATTTTTTTGCTTCCTTCTTTTGAATCTTTCTCTTCAATTTTTTGTCTTCTTTCAGTCTTAACTTCTCTAGGCTAATAAACATTTACAATTAGTGATAATTCACCTGTGTTATAAACTCAATTGGCCACTTTCCTTTGCCTATTATAGAAATTATTCTTAAGTACTAAGACAGACATTTTCCCTTTAGTTAGAAACAGGCCTTCATCTTCCATTTAATATCACAAACTGTTGACATGTATGATCAATTCAGCAAAATAAGGGTACATTATTTCATGAAAACATGACCCTCCACTATTGAGTGACTTCTAATTAAGGACAGCATGTAGAGATTGTACAGATGTTATTCCCATGCACATATTAGTCATTGCTTAGGGTAAACAGGTATAGTAAAAATTACTCTGCAAGAAAATATATGCACTCATTTCAAACAATGAGCTCACAATAAAATATTATTTTCACATCTCAACAATGGCCCATAACTAGAATTTGGTTGATACGGTACAGTGAGTTTTCTGCAACAAATAATTCTGTTCATCTTTTTCTTTTGCTTTTTCTTCATCACCAATGATGAAAAAAATAATTTCTTAGAAAAGGGCCAAAAAAGAAAAAATGATTGAAATTATCTTATCTGGGGAAGAGACAGAGAAGAAAATCATTTTGAAAGCACACTGAGCATTTCAGAGTGCGAGATAGCCATTGGTTATCTCTGAGACAGAAATTAAAAAGCAAAAATGCTTTTGGAATTAAAGTTTAAACAACTGAGAGTGAAACACATGATGTTTACTTAAGTTCCAAATCTATCAAACATGTCATTTCACAGCATCAAATGTCATAATTTTACTTCACATTCAACTACTAATTCAAGTTTTTCATACTTAACCATACCAGGCTAGTTCTCTTTAAGTTGTAAATATCCATAGAATTCAATTAAAAAAATTCTTATTTAGGTATGTGTTCACAGTCAATTTTAAACCTGCATTTAATAGAAACATATTCTAGGAGACATCATTAAGCTACTGGTTGATGGTTAAAGATCTTACCTAGAACATTTCTGTTTCAGAATAGGTCTTGGAGGAACCTTTTCTTTTATGACCTTGTGTTCAAACTTTAAATAAAACAAAGACAGCCAAAATTTGTCTCATACTCCATGACACAGAGTACAAAACCACAAGTAACAGCATTTAAAAAACACACAATGTTCAACTGGATAGAAAACAGTGATGATATTCTGACCCAGACACAAGTCCAGAACACACTAGCCAAGCAATTTATTGAAAAAAGGAACAAGGATAAACAAGCTTTAGAAGACGTTAAAAAATAAGAGTAAGGAGAAGAGCAAGGAAACTACAAATGTTACAACAATCCACTCCTGCCACTCCCAAAAAGTAAAGACAACCCTTCAAGACACTTCTTTCTCTAAGAACCCCAACACCCACCAAAACCAGTAAGCTTACTGGGGATTAAGAAAACAAAGTAATAGAAAAGATAAAACCTCCAATGTAAAATGCCTCCTTTTCTTATTAAGAAATAAAAGAATATGAAACTCCATCACAGCAAAGGAGCATCTCACATCCTATTTCCTGTATTTGCTTAAATTAAGTAACTGTTTCTTTTCTTTTAAAAAGAATGCATATCGCACAATTTCCACAAATGTAAATCAATTTTTAAAATGTGTGAGTATTCTGGTTATCAGTTTAGTAAGATTTCCCCTTTATTAGATACTTACTTCACATTTAACTTGACCACCACTGCTGAAAATGATAATCTTAGAAATGATTCCTTCACAGTCAGGGGTAAGACAAATTCCTTGTAAAAAGTCCTATTTAATTAAAAAATGAGAGCAAGAGTGTACCATATTTCAGAATAAACCTATACAAGTATCAGAATAAATCTATACATGCATATGACTATCAGTAACAGTCAAAATAAAGTCTGTCCCCACCTCCCTTGTGGGAGGCACTGAAATCCCTGCTCATTGCCATGGGACCTTTTTTTTTTTTTTAATTTTGCATAGAGGAACTGGGGTGTAGGCCAGAGGTGTAGGGGTGAGAGGATTCACCAGAGACAGAGCGGGAAGCAGAACAGGTAAACTGACTGAAACACACTGCTGAGGGGAGTAGCGGGCGAGATAGGAGATGTCTTCTGCGCCATGTGGGTCAGCTCCCTGGTGGGGAATCAAACTTAGGCTGTAGCAGTGATAGCAAGGAGACTTAACCCCTAGACCACCAGGGAGGGCCCTGCCATGGGATTTTTGAAGCTCTGTAGCAAGTACGAGATTCCTGTTTTAGAAAGCTGACCCTGTGACTTGTTTTGGATAATTCAAGGCGAACTTACATTATGTACATTATGCCTAAGCTAAAACTTTAAGAACACTGCATGGGATGGCCATGCCTCTTTGCCCTCTGCCACAAAAACAGTCACTTTCAACTCTGATTCAGAAACAGAAGGCAGTTACATAGCCTAGAGCTGCTACAGTTTAACCTTGGCCAACAGCTGTGGTACTTCAGGAGAAATAACGTAAGGAAGGGATGAAACTTTCTTATTCTGAGTAACAAGCTATTTAAGGCTCATATAACTTCACTATACCTGAGAAAGAGCGGCCAAACTTTGCAGAGGGTGTTTGTATAAACCCATGGAATGGTCAAACCACTAAGGGAGCATGTCCAGCTGGAGAACTCCAATAAAAACATCACAAAAGTGACTTCGATGGCAGCAGTTCCTTGGTCATATCATAATACCCTTAGTTAAAACTATGTGAAAAAGTTCAGTATGTATTTTTACCAAACTTAACCACCTTTTCCTTTCCCCAATAGGGACAGGGGTTTACAGGAGGCTGCACAGTGTGTAGAAAGTTTTTCTTTTTTTTAAGTCTATAGCCTACATGGATCAGAAACAAATTCTATGAATGCAAAAAGATTGTAAAATTATGCCTTCTCTCAAAGTATTCCTAGCCAGTGGTAGTAACATCATTATCTTGCCAACTAAGAAAAGCCCCAATGACAAGTGGCAGTACAAAATTTAAGTTGATTTCTAGGTACAAATCATCATATTTTGGCAGAAAATAAAGAAATGAGAGCCTAATTTTCATCATAACCTCAAAGTAATTAAATGAAAGGTCCTGAAGAATTAAAATTGTCAGTGCATAATTTAACATCTGTATTTTAAAAATGAGACATTTAAATTTTTTTTGATTCTAAGAGTCCTAAGATTAAAGACCCATTAAACAACTTATTAAAGGCTTCAGTGGTTATTGTCTTTATGCTTGCATAAAATAAAAACAAAACCTATTTCCTACTTTATCTTTAAAGTTTCAATTTAAAACTTTCTAAAACTTTCAATTTAAAACTTTCTAATTATGTCTAGAATGCACAGAAATTAATATTCTTTTCTGAAGATTGTCAGGAAAAAGTATCAACACACAATAAGCATACTATAAAACCCAATCATATTAGGCTTACCTTGTCAATTTTATCATTAAAGGTTGTTGTCTTTAACTTCTTCCAACAGTTCATGTGAAATTCTATTTTACAGTACTGACAACAGCTAATTCGTATAAAACCCTGGGGGTTTAAAAAGATTTTTAATTCACACTGTAAAGATGCCTATACACACATACTCTTCCTTTTTCTCTCACACTGACAACACGTGTGAAGACAGAGCTGTTTGCACTCATCTGGCAGACTTAACTAGACACAGCACTTCCTCCAGGGGGAATGCAGTGCTTCTCACTCCCAGAGCGCCTCCTGCTGGAGGTGAGGACCTGGACTGACATGCTCATTTCCATGGTGTACAGCTGCGTTATCCTTTACAATTTATCAAGTATCTTATTTCATTAGATCTGATAATCAGGGACAGCAGCTGGCAACTACTATCTTCCAAGGCTCAGTAACTTACTCAATTAAATACCAGGCTTGGTCTCAAATTTAGATCTCTAGGGGCTAATTTATAATGGTCGGAATGGCCTTTTAACTCTTGGACACAAATTTTACAAGAGATTAGAATTGCAATAAATCGGAGGTCATAATCTTTTTTTCCTTGTGCTTCTGAAATACAAGCAGTTGTGTGAAACAGTGGCTGGAAAGGAGTTATGGACTTAGTCTGCCTTCCCAGATGACCACCCCTACCCTCCATGTTTACTGCAGTGGCTCTGGGTTCCCACTGTGAGGTCAGTCTTGGGGAAGCACAGACAAGAAGACATAAAACTGCAGAACAATCAGAGAACACGAATATTTGTAATTCAGTAATTAGTTATTAAGTCTCTTTAAAGCATAACCGCAAATGAGTACCTTAGTGTATATTCACCATTACCTTAAAGTCTGGATCAGTGATGTAGATCTGGATTTTGGAATAGCCACGGCACTTCTGATAGCAACAAATGGCATCTGGCACTGGAGGGAACTTGCATTCTTCAATAAATTTTTCCAAAAGCATCTAAAACAAAAATGACAGTACTATCATACCAATCCATCAATAAAAACGCTCATGATTTCAACATCCTCTTGCAATCAAAATATTTTCAACATAAATAAGACTTTTCCAGCCAAAAACAAACTACCCTGAAAATTTTAAGTTTTTCCTTTTAGAAGGAGACCGATACAGAGCCATGTCACGAAAAATGGAGGAGGAGGAGGGGAGGATTGGACAAAAAAAATTCCAGAATTTCAGATTCAGAATCAAAATCTTACCCTGTGTTATAATCATCAAAACCTCATTTTATAACACATAACTCTTAGAGAACTCCTTCAAGCATACCGAGGGAGTCAAGAAAGAGGGTAACTAACCCTTAGATGGGACTCCTCTCTCTCCCAATGTCACTTCAGCTGGGAGCCTACCACCTATGATTCCTCTCCAGAAATCCCTGCCCCCCGTGCTTGTTCATTCCCTGGGGAGCCACATCGCAGCTGCAGAAGCCCCCAACAGGCTCAGGCTAGTTTCCCCTGCTGGCTCCTCCTTAGCAATAGTTCCTCTGCCTCCATCCCAAACAAGTATCAAAAGAGAAGAAACTTCACCCACTCCTGTTTTGTGTTTTATAGTAACTGTTGATATAATTCACATTTCATACAATTCACACATTTAAAGTACATAGTTTGGTGGTTTTCAGCATAGTCATAGGATTGTACAACCATTCCCACAATATAAATTTCAGAACATTTTCATTACCCAACAAGAGACCATTCGTAGTCACTCCCCATTCTCTCTAGAGCACCTGATAAGCACTAATCTACCTTCTGTCTCTTTGTATAGATTGGACTATTCTGATACATGGTTTTTTTGTGTTTCGCTTCCTTCTTTTTCTTTAACATGTTTTCAAGATTCCTCCATGGTGTAGACGTTGTAGTACTTCATCCCTTTTAATGGCTGAACAACATTCAGTTGTATGGATATGCCACATGTTATTTAACCACTTATTAGTTGGTTGTTACAAATAATGAAGCTATGAACATTCACAAGTTTTTGTGAGAACTTGCTTTCCTTTCTTGAATATACCTGCGAGTGGAATGCTGGTCTGTACAATAACTCTATCTTTAACCTACTGAGGAACTGCCAAACTGTTTTCCAAAGCAACTGTACTATTTTACATGTCTGTCAGCAATGTATGAATTCTCATTTCTGTACATCCTTGCCAATACTTGTGACTTTCTGCCTTTTTGATTATGCCATCCTAGTGGGAGTGAAGTAGTATCTCAATGTGGTTTTAACTTGCATTCTCTGATAGCCAATGCTGTTGAATACATTTCATGTGCTTAATGACTATTTGTATAACTGCTTGGCAGATATGTCTACTCAGATCCTTTGGTACTTATTAACTAGATTATGTGTGCTTTTATTATTGGGTTTTAAAAGCCAGTCCCTGTGCTTTTAAAACCTTCAGCCAAAAGTTAAGATTTCAGCACATGCCAGAATTTACCACAAGTAAAGGTCTGTCCTAGTCAATTCACACGTAATTTAGGCTTTCTAGAACTAGCAAAGACCCTACAGTTCTGGATATGAGACTAAATTACACTCTCCAATCTTAAAGTATGATCTCAATAGCTAGAGTGACTATGATAAAACAACAACGCTCTACCTTTCTCTAGGTAAAACCTAGAACACACTGCTCAATAATGGAAACTCTGAGGTCAGAATGCCAGATTCACATCCCAACTCCACCATTTCCTAGCTGTTTTAACTTTGAGCTTATTATATAACCTCTCTAAATTTAATCTTCCCCATCTGTAAAATAGGAAGAATCACAGAACTCAACACAGTAGGGCTGCTGTAGGATTAATGGGAGTAAGTGGAAGGTGTGTGACTGGCACACAGGAAATAATAAATGTGATTCTGACAAGTCTTTAAAGGAGAAACACACATAGGGAACTGGGGACAGAGCATGCCTGCCTCTTTGTCTTCTGACTCCTGCATCAATCAGTGAAGATGGGCTTTTATAAAGAAGCACTCTGCAGAAATAAAGTTACCTTTATTTTCCCTGGCTGAGTCTCTTCAATAATCACATTACTTGTGGGCCAAGTCAATACTCCAGGAAGTCGGCAAATCAAGGTTCTTGCTTTCTCAAAGTGATTAAGAGCTTCCAGAAATCTAAAGTCATATCATGAAGAAAAGAAGATATTAAAGATGTAATGTGATAGTTACAGTCACCACAACAAAAGTCAGAACTTTCATGTTACTAGGAAGCATATATCTGATAAATCACTATACAGAAATATTCATTGTAAAGTATACGTTCTTTAATAAGTCAGGGCATAACTGCTGTTGCTATAAAAGTAATGTAAATTAAGCTCGTTTGTCCCGACACTGGTTTTAATACAGCAGGTGCACATTAGTCCTTTCAAAGTTGTTTTATTGTTTTTTGAAAGTTCCCAACAATTAAAGTAGAAACTGAACAAGAATCTAACTGCTCCATTTTTTCATTTGCTAAGCTGATCAAGGAAGAAAGCAACCCTCCACTTTTTAATCATAAAAAGGACTCTACTAGGACATCTACAGTGAAAAATCTCTCTGCTGACAAAATCACAGAGACCATGAATTCTGGACATTGTTCTTCAACCAAAAAGCAGTGAATTATTTTAACAAAACAAATGCATGTATGAATTGTTTTAAAATATTTCAGTTATCTGTTTTGAATTATGGCTTCAAAAAATATTGTCAATAGATTCCAAAGTCATTCAACAGAAGAATACTAACATACTGAATTATGACAGTAAGTCGGTCTTTATTCTTCTCTTCAGACCAGACAAGGAGGAGGGTTGATATCCTCCTTTTTCCAGTCTTTAAATGAAACCTATTCATGTCTATAAGCATAGAAAAAATTCCCGAGTGTGAAGTTATACTCCCAAAATTATATATCTGTAAAAAAGAATGATTGATAAATCAATAAAATTTGTGGGGAGAAAAAATTCACTTGCAAAAAGTTGGAACACCATCTACAATTACATAGTTCTAGAGAGTGAGCAGAAACTATACATTAAAAAGGCAAAAAGAATATTAGATGTTGAACCCCAAAGCTTATTATTTTGAAATTAAAGTCTGATTGTCTTTGAACATGGAGACTGTTATCATTTGTCATGATCCTCATGATTTTTCACTTTGTCATTTTCCTAGACTATGTAAATATCTGCATGTGCCACTAGTTAAAGATATGCTCAAAACAAAACAACTGAGATCTAACTCTGAAGTTAATTTCATTTGCTACTACTTTATAAGTGACTGCTAATTCCTCATTTCCCCTGCCTCTACTTAATATAGTTCAGCCTAGTCAGACATAAAACAATTTACTTCATACTAAAAAAGGCTCTCAGATTGGGTTCCAAATAGTACCAATGGTCTGATAAAATTCTCTCTATAAAGTTAAATGAAAATTTGAGGCTATTGATAAGTTATGAATGACATTCAGTCAGTGAACAATCTCTTTATAAAGTAATCCAACATACCTACCTACCACTTAAAGCTAAAGGCATAATCCTGTCCCCCTCTAAGGGTTGTACAGCAATTTGGAGATTATGTATGAAACATTCACTTAGAGAACATACTAACTTTAAACAAGATTACAACTATAAGTTGAAAGAACAGAATTTTATTCCTAACTCAAGATGTCTCTGAACATATACTATATATGCCTCTCATTAAAACCATCTTTATACAGATTTTTTGGGACATAGGTATTTAACAAAAAAATCACACAATCGGACTTGTAAAGCATTAATTAAAACCAATTCCGTCACCACTGATAAATGAGGTATACCAAAAGATAAAATATAAAATTCTTTGTCTCAAATTACTCTATTATTGATTTCCTATCTATTCAAAATTTCACGAAACACTGGGAGCTGAATTAATTAGTCTTACTTTAATAATTAATACTGAAATGCTGGTCCTCAAAGTAAACAAATTATAATAGTGTGCCAAGGAGAAGATAGCAAATAATTCTAGAAACAGTTCTACTAACCTGTTTTTTTTCAAATATACTTTTCCAATTCCACAGTAGGCCAAGCAATCAAGTCCCTCATTTGGGTAGTGTTCAATCATCCTCTTAAATTGGTTTTCAGCTTCAGATAATTCCTTTAACAGTAGTAATAACAATGCTCACACAAAAAGAGAAATGCTGGGGACCTCCCTGGTAGCGCAAGGGGTTAAGACACAACCTATGAAGCTTGAGGCAGCCACTGCAGCATGAGTTTGATCCCCGGCCAGGGAACTACCCACATGGGCAGCATACCTCTCCCGTCTCGCCCACTGCTCCCCTCAGAAGTGTATTTCAGTATATCTTCCTGTTCTGTTCCCCTCTCTGTCTCTGGTGAATCCTTTCACCTCCCCCTCCACAACTCCGGCCTGTATCCCAGTTCTTGTATGTATAAATATTTAAAAAAAAAAAATGTCGGAACAGATTTTATCAGACGGCTGATGCCTCTTGTGTACTATATTAAAAACAACTGTACATCTAAAAATTTCCATGGCAAAATTACAACTGCATTTCATTTTCTTAATAGTTACACATTTTCATATACTATATGAATACTTAGAGACACAACACCAAAGTGATCCAGCTTGAGAATTAAAAGTCAAGACATCCATCAGACAACCAAATAAGTATTACGAACAGACACAGGAGGGTCTGGTGTGTGCCAGTTATCACTAAAAGGTGTGAATTTGTGGTAAAAGACTGATTTGGGTGCAAACATACCAGCGCATACATCATGGTAAGTGCTGTTCCCTAGTGAGCATAGGCATGCCAATGGTATTGTCACATGTTTTATGGCATAAGACAGGAAAGTGCTCTGTCTTAAAAACAGTTCTTTAGAAAAAGACTTATATACATCTTATATAGAAAAAGACTTATATACAGCTTAGCATACATCCTTTTGATTAGTCTCAATAGCGGAAATCTCTGCTCTGAATGCATTTTGTGTAAGAAAAATATCCAAAGACAGCTCAAAGCATATAGGTAACCCCACTGTAGATAAAAAAGGAAATGTCACCACAAAATGGAGCTTACAAGTAGCGATGAGGCCAGCTCCAAAGGAGGCATCCATAAATGTTTTAAGTGAGGATGGTACTGGAGTGAACATATCACTTCCTATGGGGCTATTCTGAATGATGAAATTCTTTTCAAAATCTAAGTTCTACCACACGTGCAAGTTTTTTTGTTTTTTTTTTAAATCAATCTCACTACTTCACAACAAATCATTAATGAAATATTCCTTGAATTCTGATAAGGTAAAACATGGCATTTATTATTACCTGCCAAGAACAGAAAAATTGAGGAAAATGGAGGACTCTCTTTATCAATCTATTAGAAGACAAATTAGACAGGCCTTAACAGAAGACATTACCATCTGTCACATAAGAACACAAAAAGTACAACGTAAATAAAAGCCCTCAAGTAGAGGACCACTGAGAGTGGAACCTAAGCAACAATTTGCTCCTTTTTAGGTAGCAATTAAGATCAAGTTTTCATCTAGTGAGAGAAGCTTGGAGTCCAAAGTGGTAGAAAGGATATATTATACCTGAAATAATTCAAGAGTCATTTCAACCTTTACCAAAAACTCACAATCATGGAAAGCAAAGTTAATACTGAATAGTACAGGTTGAATAAGCTTTGTAGAAGAGCAGTGAAAGAACATGAGTAATGGAAGTCATGTGACTCAGTCACACACTGCATACATCATGCGGAGGCTACACTCTAGAAAATAAAACACCAAGTGCTCACCAACTCGAACTAAGAGATATCAATATTGGAATTTTTACATTTTTAAAATAAAACAACTAACACAAAATTGAATTATCTTTTCTTAACATCTCCAGGCCCCGTCCTTCCTTCCATCACTAAATGCAACCATTATTTTATTTGACGTTGGGCAAGTCCACGGTTTTTACAAGATGCAGACAGCCAGAAACAATATGTACTGTTATTCTGCAGATTTTCCGAATTTTATGAGTAGTATCACGCCATCTGTTATGTTTCTAACATGCTTTTTTCCCTCAACATGTTTCTGAAATCTATCATGATGCATTAAGTCCTCTACTTATACAAATATAAAAGGACTACCACTGGTCGTCTGACACAGATTTTTTTCTAATAGAAACACAAACTAAATTTTCTTTAAAACAAACACAAACTAAACTTAGATAGTTCAGAAACAATTACCAAGAAAGGAAATAAGTCAAAGAAGTAAGTAAAAATGGGGAAACTATTTTGACATTATTTTCTAAAATCAATGGCATATTTAAAAAATGTATTGTCTCTGTTACAAATCTTACCTCAGGCTGTCCTATTCCCAGGAGAGAAATAGCAAGTCCGTAGACTACTAAAACATAGTTAATCATGGCGAGGTTCAATTGCTGTCAACAAAAATGTTACAGTTAAAATTCTAAACATAGACTAAGATGGCCCAATGTGTACCACACCAACCTTTTAGATATGACAGGAAAAGAAGGGTAATAAAATCTCACTAATCAACACGATTGTAATAAAGGTCAAAGAGAATTAGAAAATGTTTGGCAAAGATAAGCAGTTACTTGGCTATCAAGTATTTAAAATATAGAATCATTGTTTCAGAGTTCCTAGAAGACATGGCTCATGACATTAAAATAAATGAAGTCATCTTTTGCAACTAAGTAGGTAGTAGTGACAGATTAGGACAATTCTCCTACAATCTAACTGTTTGGTTGTGGATGAAAAGATTATGACTAAAATGAGTCCAAATACAGGATTTAGTACTTTAATAAAACAGAAGTACAGGAATTCAAGTGAACACTGTCAAGCATGTGAGCAGAGTCTACACATGGGCTGTGTCCCTTGAGTGCAACCAGAGGCTGAATGGGAACATCATCTCCTATCTCTCCCGACCTGAAACCAAGTCAGCCGATCTTGGCAAGACCTAAAGTGCCTTACTACAATATAGCAAAACCCTTGATTTTCTCGTACGTTCACCTAAAACACACTGACATTGCTAAAAAAGTCATATGGTAGCAATTTCACCTTTATTTTTTGAGGATCTAAGCCATTGAGCAACTCTGTGAAGGCCTGTGCAGCACTGCGGCAGCGCTGGTCCAGCAAAGCCGTGTAGCCATCCTGGATCAAGCTTCTCAGCATTTTCATTATATTAGCAAAATCCTGCAAAAAGGAAATCCAATTTCTGAGAACCGGACCTATAAATTTTTAGTGTAAAACTTAAAATGCCAAAGTTCATCACAGAGTAGTTAATATTGTCATGCTTGACCATAAATAAGAATCTAAGTATCAAAAGCTATCCTTTAATACATAATATCCCTCTCACCTCACAGCTCCTTTCAAGTGAAAAACAAAAAGATACCCTTCACCACTGTACTTTCAGTGCTTCTATTACTGCCATGAAGAGCAGTCCACTTTATTTTTTTTTCTTTTTTCTTAATTTAAATAATAAATTTTATTTTTATATTCCCCATACAATTGCAAACGCCCCATTCTGACCCCAATCCCTCCCCTCCCGCCCCCCACCCCCCAAAAAGTGTCTCTGGTTCATAGTTTTTTGTTTATTTTGATTTTCACTTTCTTATATTCATTTTCCTGGTCCCTTATTTAAGTTTTCTAGATTCCTGCTATGAGTGAGACCATCGGTATTTTTCTTTTTCTTTTTGGCTTATTTCGCTGAGCATGATCCCTTCCAACGCCATCCATGTTGCTGCAAATTGCATGTGTTTATCTTTTTTGAATGCTGAGTAATATTCCATGGTGTATATGTACCACATCTTCTTGATCCAGCCATCTATTTTTGGGCATTTGGGCTGTTTCCAAAGCTTAGCTATTGTAAATAGTGCTGAAGAGCAGTCCACTTTATACGACATAGTGCTATGCCTTGCTCACTTTTTCAGATTAAACAGACAGTATTTTAAAATTTCAACAATTTTACTTTATTCTCTTACAAGGCACCATTTAAATAAGCAGATTTGTTTGGCTGTGAACAGAACAACTAGACATATTATAGCAGATAATTTACTGATCACTATCAGATTTTGACAACTGCCCTCATGTCCTGGAACAAACCTTCATTTTCAGCAAGAAATAAATACTTTAGCTCTACTCCTATTAACAGGTACTTGGATAGAACAAGGTAAAATTATTGGGAGAAAGGTTAGGATTGGGAGATGCAAACAATTCTGCAATGTTAACCATTCATTAAATCACCGGTTAATGTAAGTATTGAGTTTAATATATAATTAATGATAGCTTGGATAAATTATATGTCCACAATAAAATCTATTAAGAAAATCCAATATTAGGGAGGTACATGATTAGACTTTATTCATGTTAAAAATGTTTTTCTCAGGAAGTTTGCTTTTTCCATACAAAAACCTTTTTACCTGATGTGCAGCTCTGGAAGATTTAGAAAACTGTTTTTCCAAGATGGTTTTCAAATCGACTGGTAAACTCACTTGTGAATTAGAACTAAAAGAGAAAAACATTTGTTTTAGAACAAAACAATCCTACCTATATAAAGAAAAAATGCAGTTACTGAAGATTATTTTAAACATGAAGTAAACAGGATCCTAAGTTCCTGAACAGAAATATTACCAAGATGTGGGTTCTCCCCAAATTAATCTCTAACTCCAATGAAATCACAATAAAAATATCTATAAACCTAGAGGTGGAGAGATACCAGATGAATGGGTAATAAAATTATATGTAAGAATAGCTTTTGGAATTTTGCACTGATTATCGAAAGTTATTTGACATCTACAGCCGTCAATAATAACTTAGTCTTAAAACAAGAAATGTGCCCTGAAATACTGCCAAGATGCTCCATCTTTGGGAAAATCCACTTCTGGGAAAATCTAACGATACAGCAGTTTCATAAAATCTGACTCCCAGAGCTGGTGAACATAGGAAGATTCAGACCTGTAGGTGTTCATACCAAATGTGGGTTTTTTCCCAACACCAAATACCAGTATTGTCACGTTTCTCACATTAATTCTCCAACAATTCAACTTGACACCAACTCTGGATTTAACACAGACCGCACAGGTTATTAAATGCTCAGTCCAAGACTGTCCTCATTCAGGTGTCAGTTACAATGAGGTGGGCAGGCTACCCTACACTGTCAGGCTGCCTATAAACTTGGGGGTGGGGAAAGGTACATGAATCCCCTCTGGCACAACAATTGCCTAGAATGATTCACAGGACTTAGGAAAACCCTCCACTCACTACTATTACTGTCACCAGGTGGTAGCTTAAGTTCCTCATCCTTGCCCTGCTCCTGTTACTTTTCTTGCAGACAAAAACCAGACCAGCTGAGAACAAAATGGAGGCAGAAGACAAGGGTGAAGCCACAACCTCATGACCACAGAAAAAGCACACCCACCAGTGCCATGACAGAGGTGGTCAGGACCAAACTGGAAAGAAAAGGGCGGCATGTAGTGGCTCCTGGAAATGCCTGCCTATTTTCTGAAATCCTGTTGATGCAGACCCTTAGACTCTCCCCTTCCTTAGCCATTCCCCTATAAGTTCCTGATTCTCTCCAGTTTGGGGAAATGGCCTTTGAGCCAGCACTCCAACATTTCCCCAGATTGCCACCGCCTCATTAAACCTGATTTCCTCCTACCAAGTCATCGTTCGAGTTTTGCCTTAAAAGTGGCTCAGACCCTGGCTCCAGTAACATCGCCAGCTTATCAAAAACAAATACAGAATTCAGAAAAAGCCCAATGGAAGAGATGGGTAGGAAGGTATGGAGCAGGGGCAGTGCCACAGAGCTTTCATGAGCTCCCTGTGCACCACCCACGCTGTCTCATAATATACTGACCAATCTGGAAGCTCCTTGAGCTCTGATGTTTGTGGAGATTTTCATTAAATTACTGGCCACTGTAACTGAAATGAATTTCCAGCCGTCTTCCCCTCCTCAGAAATCAGGAAGTAAGGCTGACTGTCCCAACTTCTAATAATACTTCTCAGCAAACTCCTATGATTTTAGAAGCTCTACAGCATGAATTAAGGACAAAGACCAATACAGTTGTCCCTCAGTATCCAAAATCCATGGATGCTCAAGTCTCATATAAAATGGCATAGTATTTTATATGTTCCAATATACTTTAAGTTATTGCTAGTTGATTTACAATGCCTAGTACAATAGAAATGCTATGCAGGGGCCTCCCTGGTGGCACAAGGGGTTAAGTTGCAGCAGTCTGAAGCTATCCGTACCTACTGCAGCACAAGTTCAATCCCCGGCCAGGGAGCTACCCACATGGCGCAACAGACCTGCTCCCCTAGCAGTGTATTTCAGTCAATTCACCTGTTCTGCTCCCCACTCTGTCTCTAGTGAATCCTCTCACCCCTGCACCTCTGGCCTGTACCCCCAGTTCTCACATGCATAAATAAATCTTTTTTAAAAAATGCTATCTAAATAATCATTATACTCTATTATTTAGGGACAATTTACAAGAAATCTGTCTATGTTCAGTACAGGGGCAACCATGGTAGGCCTAACTACATTATAAGTATTTTCAATCTGTAGTGGATTGAATCCGTGGATGCAAAACCTGTGAATAAAGAGAGCTGATGATATATTTTAATTAAATCACATGACTTCATGGTTTATTAGGAATGTGAACAGTGCCCCTTTTCTGGGCAGGGCATTTTGGCAGTGCCTATCAAAATAAAAATTATATATCCCTTTTGACAGAGCAATTTTATTCCAGAAAGAACTTCTAATATACATCTCTATCATGAAAATGAAGGATGCAGAGCTCCGTGGTCTGCCATGTGAAAATATCCAATATATGTGGTTATCCCATTTACTTGTGAAGTAACGTATGTAAAGACATAATCAAACAAAAAGCTCTCAGGTTGAAGACAGAAACAAAGTCTCAGAGAAACAAATTTATCTTTAACAAAACAGATTAAAATTGTAACAGTGCATTCAAAGACTGATGATGTACAGGGTTTGGTTTCTTTGGTGGTAGGGAGTTCTGGGCCAGGGGAAAGACATGGCATTTTTTCCTACCCCATTATTGATCCTTGTAGCAGCATAAAAAAAAAATGGTCATTTGTTTTTAAAATGAGCTTTACTAACTTCTTTTAGTGCTTTGACAGTCAGATCATTCTCCTTCAAGCACCTATCAAGGAAATCAGCCTTAAAAAATGAAGAAAACTGACAACTGGTATAACTCACAGAAATAGCTTTGTAGTTTTTCCAGCATCCCTTTCACTGGCTTAATGAACTTCTGTATCTATTTTAAGATTTACAATTTTACTTTGCAATCAGTGTGTGCCTTTGTAGGGCATGGTGGATTAGGCAGCAAGAGTTCCAACTGTTAATTTCAGAGGGAGGGAAGGGTGTGGGCATGTGCACTGGGTAAATGAATTTTATAAGTAGTCAGCTGATTAGCAAATACTTTCCTCTAGTGGTAATTACTCAAAAAGGGTTTCTGAATATACATATCTCCATGCCTGTGCATACAGAGTAAACTTCCAAATGGCTAAGAAAATAATAATAAAAAATGTGGCGGGCCTCCCTGGTGGTGCAAGGGGTTAAGCACTGCACTATGAAGCAATCTGAAGCCTCTGCAGCACGAGTTTGATCCCTGGCCCGCCAGGGAGCAACCCATATGGCGCAGCAGACCTCTCCTGTCTCGCCCGCTGCTCCCCTCAGCAGTGTATTTCAGTCAGTCTGCCTGTTCTGCTCCCCACTCTGTCTCTGGTGAATCCTCTCACCCCTCCGCACCTCTGGCCCGTACCCCACCTCTTGTATGCATACATAAGTAAATATTTAAAAAAAAAGTGTGGAAAGGGAGCCACTAGAGAAGAAAACTGTGGGAAAGGTGAGCAGAGATGGAGGCAATTTTTACCCTTCAGTTCTCTGAGAATTTTTTCCTCCTATGAGTACATATTTTTGAATTTACATTTTTGATTTTTAAGAAAATCACTATCACATAACAATGACTTTCATAAATCAGTATTAACCATCCAGGATTAATAATCCTTTAACTCCAGAATGATCCTCTCCTAAAGAAATGCCATTGGCATTTAAAAGGGATTTAAATACCTAGTATTCATCATAATACACCTGTATAAAGGTAGCTACTTGTTTTTTCTTGGAAAGAGAACAACATTAGGAAAAACAAACAGAAATTTTACATCAAAAACATACCTGAACTTATCCAATTCATTGTTTCTGGATTTTTGTTTTCCTTTATATTTTGGAGGTGGAGCTGTGAATACAAAAGTATTAGTTTTTGAAATCTGTACATAAAAATCTCCAAGCTTTGAAAAGTGAATCAGTTTAAAACTGGAATATGAAAACAATATTACATGTGAATGTATCTATAGACAGCTAAGCCAAAAGAAGCCACTGGTGATGTTTTTCTATGTATGCAATAAAGTTATTACAAAGATAAATTATGATTATTTAGATCAATAATAGATGCCAAGAGATAAAGAATAGAGTTCCTTTTCTCAGGTAGTTTACAATCATGTGGGAAGAAAAGATAGTGACTTCAAATTAACAATAATCACTACTACTTAGTACAAGAAAGACACTGTGATGTTACTGACATTAATTCCATAGAACTGCTCTAGTAACTCACAGTAAAAGGGAAGTCACTTAAGCTGGTGTGGCTCAAGCAAGCGCGAGTAGAAAGGCAGCATCTGTGTTCAGTTTGAAAAAGCAGGTAGTATTTGTGTAGAATGGCCCACTGAGTCACACTGATTTAAGAAACATTAAACCATCTGGTTTGGAGACTGGTAGGCAGGCTAAAGTGAGTTGTGCCTTAGATCGCTCAGTGAGCTCAGCCTTTAACTAACTAGCAGGAGTAGGAGCCTCTGCATACTTTTCAGCGGGGAACGATATATGTAAAATTTTGTAGATGATAACTCAGCAATAGGTACAGGGTATATTTTATGGAAAGTTTGGGGAAAGGTGGCATAGGCAAGTCAGAGCCTACTCAGGAGGGAAAGAGAGTTTGAACTGGTTTTGGCAGCCTCAGAAAACAAAAGAAGCTTCTAGAAATGCAGAGTTCTAGTTTGATTTTTACTATCCGACCTCGGGCAAACTACCTAACCCTCACCGTGGGACCTCAATTTCTTCACCTGACTGTAGATGAAAGGTAAACAGTACTTATTGATAAGTAGACATTACTCATTGAAATATGTTAAGCAATATCAATAAATTAAAAGCTGTTTTCTAAAAAGAAGTTTCATCTTCAAAGATTTTCACATTTAGGGTAACGTCAGGCAAGACAGTCATCACCTGAGTTTTCCTCTTTATAATTCTGATAATGTGCTAATCAAACGAAAACACCTGTAAGAAATAGTTGGCATAAAAGACAGAAATTACCACTAGCAGCAAACACTGAAAGGAAAACAACTGAGCTAACACATGAGAGAGGAAAGGAGAGCAACAGGACCAATTGCTAGGCCAACAATCTCACCTCAGTTCCCTGAAAGAAACAACATGAAAACTCGAGATAAATAACTGTTATAAAAAACCCAGAGTTACCAAGAAAATTGATATTTTTAAAAACTGTTTTAAAAGGCAGGGAAGTACATAATAAATGTTAAAACGATTTCCATCAAAATATAGTAGTATAGGGCCTCCCCGGTGGCGCAGCGGTTGAGCACTGGGTTGCGAAGCTGCCCGCAGCCTCTGCAGCGCCGGTTCGATCCCCGGCTGCTCCCCGGCCACTGGAGGAGGGTCCCACATGGCTCGCAGACCTCTCCTGCCGCCTGCTGCTCCCCTCAGCAGTGTACTTCGGTCCTTCTGCCTGCTCTGCTCCCCGCTCTGGCTCTGTTGAATTCTCTCACCCTCCCGCGCTTCTGACTGTACCCAGTGCATGTATAAATAAATAAATAAATCTTTAAAAAAAAATAATATATATATATAGTAGTATAAAGGGAAACTGAGGAAATTAAAGAAATGTGAATATTTGTGTCTCCAGAACCCTTCATTTCGCTATAATATCAAATAAACAAGGCCCTGACACATCTGCATATTTAACACATGCATAAATGCACACCAAGAAGTGCAATTCTCAACAGGGGCTATCTCCTTCCAACAGGGTGACAACTGATTATGGGAAAATAAAAATAAAAAAATCTCAATTTTTAATATGAAGCACAGATGTATTATTACAGATAAACATCTGTGGTATAAAATTGTATGGGGGGGGACAATAAACAAAAAGTCTAAAAGACTTCTTGGACAGGGCAGATATAATGAATCAAAGGTTGAGAAACTTCAAACTAATGGAAATTAGGTAGCAGACCAAGAAGAGTTTCTTGTTTTCTTCCAACCCTTTTTATTTAATTTCACTAATTAAATTTATTAAATAAAATGAAAAGGTTGAGCATTGAATTCAAGAAGGTATTTGAGTTGCTCAACTTTATAAAGTAATAACAGAACAGCAGCAAACACAAGCAAGGCTGGTGCAAATTTCAGGTATGAAAGTTGATGTAACTCAGGAACAAATCACGTAAGAAAAAAGACTCACCTGATGGAGGTAGAAGTTCAGGATGACAGTCACAATCATCTACCTTCAAAGCCTCATCTACCACCTACCCACAAAAATAAAATTAGTGAGACTTCAAAAAACTACTGCCATGAAGAGTTCAATAGCAAAATAATACAACAGGAAAAAAAAAGACACAATTTATGCATGCTCCTAGAATACCCAGCCTAGATGAATAAACAAACCAAGTAATAACTAATGATAAGAGAGTATGATATAACTTGACACATTCTTCATGATAATCCCATTTCTGATACCTCCTGACAGGTTGGTCAGTGAGTGTTTGTATTGAATGATACTATCACAGCTTTCCGAAGGTCCCTGACCCTCAGTGAACACAGCCTCTGGGAGGTATCTGCTGAGCTCTGAGTACACTAGAGTAAAGGAAAAAACTCGCTTAGAGATCATCTGGGACCCTGATCACAGAGCCAGACTAGAAGCCTAGAGGTGCCCTGAAGAAAGCACCAAACCAAGGTTCTGCCAAGCACCACTGCTAAGAACAACAGAGGCTGCAGAAATACCTTGGGCAGAGATGGGGATGAGGTGCCTCCCAGGCCCAGCACAGCACGAATTGTGTGGGTGAGCTGGGGCAGTGCCAGCCAGTCAAGTAAACTGCAAAAGGGAAATGGGAGGAAGAGAAAAATCCAAAGCATTATAAGGGGTCGGGTGAACTGGACACTAGACCCCACTGTCCCTTACTCCCAAACGACTGACTGGAAGCCATGAAGGAAGACCATGCAAAGAGACCTATCCACGTGGCAAAATGATATTTAGAAAAAATATTTTGAAAACACACAAATCTGATTTCATAAGAAAGTCTGTAATGCTTAAATAGCATCTGCATGTAGTTGTAGGAGGTAATCAAATTATTTACTAAAAAGAGAGAACTGTTCTCTTGATATCAACAGGAAGGTTCAGAATATCACCAAAACAGTTTCCATTATCCCCAAAATATTATTGTAAAAACATGGGACCACTACATTTGAAATTATTTTAATTTTAAACTGTACCTACCTTTAGATTTTGATTACGACCGTTTGCCATTTCGCGGTTAGTTTTTCTGGAATATTTTTTGGTCTCCACAAAGTTAAGTGAAGTACTAAAAGCAGGTGCTGCTAAACTAGGTATGCAGGCCCTGAGTGGGGATAAAAGAAACAGTCACTTTATTCTTATTAAAGTGAATTTTTAAAAGCTATCCTTTAAGCAAAAAGGCCCCCATAATTATATCCTTTTTTTCCTTGAAACCAAGGATAACATTGTTTTTAAAAGAATCTAGAGCTCTGAGACTGCTTTATATACATAAACACTATTTTTAATTTGGCATGAAAAAGACAAAGCAGAATTTTAAAATTTATTGAAGTAACACTGTATAATAACATTATGAAACTAGAACTACACTTTAATTTCCAGTCTCCCTGTTTTACATTGAACAGTATCAGTATTTTACACAAGTAAATCATATAGGAAAAGCTTGATCTATTTTAATTGCCAAATAAGCTATTTGTTTTCTTGTGAGCATACTCAAGTCTATCTTCTGCCTGTTTCTCAAAAGAGTTGTCTTAGCCTATGGTGGTAGATGTTTTCGGAACAGAAGTGAAGGGTAAAAAGCACAAGCAATGCCCTGCTCTCTGCTGCCAGGACCCTCATGGCTAAAACTGGTTCTGGTGAAGTATAGTAATATTCAATTAATTTTTCATCCCTCTTTATCAAAAGGGTTAGGATATATACGCACAAATACACACACACACACACTGTTATCAAAGTTGGCAAAATAAGTCTGACAATTCAAAGTCACATGATCTTACACATGAACACTAAAAACCACCGTTCTTCCTTCCATTCCAAACTTCACTATTGTTGCTGTTGTGGACACTTTAATAAAGCATCAAAGTGATTCTCAAACTCACAGGACAAAGCCATTCCAAGTAACAACAGCTACTGACCTGATTGATACTAACTCACCTGCTTTCGTAAAAGGCGTTAATTGGATTCCTAGTTGGTGTTCGACCTATAAAAAAATCAATCACACACACATACACACACACAAAGAGTAATAAGTGAATTGGCCAATACTGATTTTAAAAGACTTTCAAATTTCCTTTAGGCTGATCATAAGAACATCAAATACAGAGAACTGAAAAATAAACCTAAGCAATTTGGTATTTCTAGATGTCTTTAAGCTTTAGGAGGGTGTCAACAGAATGTTACACAAACCTTTATATGTGATCACTGACTAGATGCAACAGCATATAAACTTGAATCAGAGATGCTACCTGTCTTCAAGGAGCTCACAATCTTAGAATTAAGTTCTGTTAGATAGCAACATCTACTAGTGAAATAGAACTACTCAGCTCAGCTGCCTAAAACACTGAATGTCCAAAGAAGGAAAAACAGGGAAGACCGACAGGCTGAAAGTGTAAAGTGTTTCCGTCATTGGAGAGAGCATAGTGACAGGTGAGAAAATACGAGCAGAATGAAAATCTAGAGTTCCCAGACTGCACAAATCTATTCTGACACACGTCTATGTTCCGCATGCTATAGAAATAGCCACAAGCTTGGTACAAAAACATTAAGCAACTCTACTGAAGAGTTTTGTATTTAGGGAATAACTTCAATAATGGAAGGGAAAAAAAGTTGTTTCAAAAAGGCTTTCCTTTATTCAAAATTTCTAGAAGGCATATTTTCTTACAGATAATAACAGTTTGTTGATGCCTGTTTCAAATAAAAACTACAAATCATTTATGATTACAAATGGAATATAACACTAATATAACTCTACAAAGATAGAGGAAAACTTCAGTGACCTGACCAAGATAACATAACAAAATAAATACAAATCATCTCAGAAGTGATTTTCTGGTCCTCCATTAATCCAAGAAACCCACCTTCAAAAGTTTTAAAGGGAATTCGACCGTAACCAAAAGAATCTTAGGTGAAATACCTTGCAGGTCTTCTATGTGTTTTTGTAACTTTACATGCTGCTGAATTAGATCCTTGATTCCCTCAGGGTCATTTTTACAGAGTTTTTGAGCTTTTATGTTTGCTTGCAGGGCCCAGTCATATTCCCCCAGCATAGAAAGAGCATCACAATAACGATAATGACCCTGTTCCAAAAAGATAAATGTATTTTTTTCTCAAAAATATACTTGAAGAAAATAGATAAGAAAAAAAATATTGCTTGAAAACTGACTTGTTTAAATTATTAGATTAGGACCCTATCAATGAAAAATAAAAATAGTTATACCTCAGATGAGCTAAGTGAAAATTTATGAATAGTATTTATAATAACTTAACAACTGATTAGAGATTAGCATTTTTGCTAAAGAAACTTTTGTACCCCCAAGAAAAGAATTAAACCTATGTTATACATTATCAGAAAAGGGTAATGATTTTGTGCTAAATAAAGTTTAAAAAAGATCATTATTAATAAATAACTTTTTTTTTTTTTTCCAAAATACTTGAAGGCAAGAGTGGCCTCTAAATCATTACATTCCCTACATTTCAGAAATCAGAATTTTAGAGCTGGTACTTTTCCAAACCTTTTCAAGAACATGGGCACAGATAAAGGGTGCATCAGGTTAAATCTCCCACCCATGTCTGTCTAAACCAGCTTTTAGTCTGTCTCTTAAGTGTATTTCATGGCTTTAAGAAAAGGTCAAACAACACTGATTTACTCTTCATTCCCATGACTGTGTTTTTTGGATGTGCTTTCTACCACAGAACCACTGCTCTGGCTGGCTCCATTTGTGCACTGTGGGAAATCTATTATCAAGCATGAACTTCTTGACCTAGAAAACGAGTATTACCAAACCTGAAGCTAACTCAACCACGCCCTCATCTACCTACTCACAAACCAATCTCCCCCTCCATCTTCTGCACAGTAGCTCCACTGGAGGAGAGTCAAAGAGGCAAGAAACAGAACAAAGAATCCTGAGCTCTTTTCTCTTTAGTATGCATTTTACGATGACATTCTGATTGTCTGAGGAAATACAAGTCAGAAATAGTGACACTTTTCAGAAAGGGAAGACTTCACTAACAGACAGAAATAATCCTAAGGGCCTGTGCTAGCGCAGACCTCATGCCCTGCTCTGGCACACCAACCCCACCTAAGTTCCACAGGAACTGTGAGAGTACCAAAAAAAATTCTGCCTCAGTTATGGAGAAAAATTTAACTTGAGACCAAATGCCACTGTGGTCCCATCTAACAAAGCTTAAAACAAGACCCCAAAGAATTGAACTGTTTCTATGTAACTACTCAGCACATTCCATGTGTTCAAGAATTTAAAAGAAAAATTAAACATGTTAAGACATGAAATATACTCAAATTAAACTGCCAGAGGTGAAAGCCACAGAACTTAAGATGAAAAATATATTGATGAAAATAAAGGCAGATCAGACATCACAGAAGAAAAAATCAGTGATTCTGAGGACATAGCAACAGAATCCACAAAAAAAATGAAACAGAAAAAAGACTGGAAATGAAGCTCACAAACGGGAAGCACAGTGACAAACAGGTGACACACAGAAAGAAAAATGCGCAGCAATGTGGGGACAACCACACCGGAAGCTGCCCTAGACTTTTCAGTTATGTAAGCCAACAAATTCCCTTTCTACTGATGCCAAATCTACATTGGGTTTTGTCATTTGCCCCAAATGCCTGAACACCCCCTCAAAATGAAAAGGCTAAGAACATTTGCGAAGTTACTGGTTTGTGTCCTGTATCACACACATCAAAAGGCAGAGCACACAGAATGTCAACAAATATCCTGCTGGTTATGCCATAAAACTTCTCATCCTTTAGGACACAGTGACCCCCTCTCTTAAGTCTGAAAGCATGTCCAGTTGACAATGCACCAGTCTTCTCTGTCTGGAAAGAAGGAAGAAAAAAATGGCCCACCCCAAAAAAGAACCCTCCATAGTACCTTTCTGTGTAGGTTCACATCCTAGGGGCATGCCTCAACAGACTCTGGCTCATAATCAATTCTAAAGTAAGAGGATTCTCATAAAACAAAAAAATACACCTTGTACAGACTATTTTTGCTCTTAAAGATTAAACTACGAGCTTTTTCTTCTGGAAAAACAAATGGAAGATGGCCTCAACAAATAATTACCAAATTTTGTTAGTATATTCCAGCTGTTTTTAATTTACACAAATATTTTGTAATCATGATATATCATAAAACATCCCAATTTAAAAAATGAGAGCACCCACATAAGTATAGTCAACTGATCTTTGACAACAGAGAAAAAGCAACACAATGGAAGGAAGATAGTTGTTTGAACAAGCAGTGCAAAGAAATAAGTATCTACATGCAAAAACATGAATCCAGACACAGACCTTACACCTCCCACAAAGCCTAAATGTGTAACACAAAACTATTTAACTACCAAAACATAATACTGTACCTTGGGTACAGTAACGGTGTTTTAGATACAAAATCAGATGCATGATTCATGAAACACTGATAACTAGCATTAATTAAAATGAAAAACTTCTGCTCTGTGAAAGACAATGTCAAGAGAATGAGGCTGTTAAGTTACAGTCCAGAAGACATTTGCAAAAGTAACAACTGATAAAGAATTCTTAAATCTCAACAATGAAAAAACAATCAGTTAAAAAATGGATCAAAGACACCTTAACAAACTAGACAGAGAGCAAGTAAGAACTGAAAATAACACTCTGAATCACATGACATCAGGGAATGTAATTAATGAGGTACCAGCACACACCTATCAGAAGGGTCAAAATATCCAAAATACTGGTAACATCAAAGGCTGATAAGGATGTGAAACAATAAAAACTTTTTCATTATTATAGTGGGAATGCAAAATATAGTCAATTTGGAGGACAGTTTGGCAGTTTGCCACAGAACTAAACACAGTTTCATCATGTGATCTCGTCATCGTGCTCTCTGGCATTCCCAAATGAACTGAAAACTTAAATCTACCCAAAAACCTACACATCAACATTTTTGGCAGCTTTATTCATGATTGCCAAAACTCGAAAGTAAACCCAGCAGGTGATGGGTAAACTGGTACATTCATACAATGAAATATTATTCAGTGGTAAAAAGAAATGAACTACCAATTCCTGAAGGAACCTAAAGGGCTTATTAGCAAGTGAAAGAAGCTAATCTGAAATGACTACACACTGTATGATCCCAACTACATTTCATTGTGGAAAAGGCAAGACTATGCAGAGAATAAGAAGACCAGAGCTTGAAGGGAAGGAGAGGGGAACAGGCAGAGAACCGAAGACACTTACAGCAGTGAAACTACTCTGATATGACATTGGTGGACATGTGTTGTTACATATTTGTTCAAAGCCACAGAATGTACAACACCAAGAGAAAATCCTAAAATAAGCTATGGATTTTGCGTGGTAATAATGGGTCAATGTAAGGTCTTGGATTGTAACAAATGTAAAACTCTGGTGGGGACCACTGGGGTGGGGGAGGGCAGAAGAGGTTCTATGGAAATAACTGTACTTCTTAATTTTACTATGACCCTAAATCTGCTTTGGAAAGCAGATTTTTTTTTTTTTTTTAAGCAAAGTGCTCAAGAAATTAAGCCGGTAATAAACATTCTACGTAAGATCCTCAACATAGGGCCTCCCTGGTGGCACAAGGTGTTAAGACACAACCTTTGAAGCTATCCACAGCCTCTGCAGCACAAGTTCGAGCCCTGGCCAGGGAGCTACCCACATGGCACAGCAGACCTCTCCTGACTCACCCGCTGCTCCCCCAACAGTGTATTTTAGTCAGTCTGCCAGTTCTGCTTCCCACTCTGTCTCTGGTGAATCCTCTCACCCCCCACACCTCTGGCCTGTACCCCAGTTCTTGTATGCATAAATAAATAAATCTTTTACATCTTTAAAAAAAAAAAAGATCCTCAACATAATTCAGAAAGTTTCAGCATTCTTTCTAGGTAGATAACAGGCTGAAATAGCCAAAAGTGTCTCTGAAAAAACAATATGATGGTCTGGGTTTCAGTATGAAGAATTCTATCAGCCATTCATCCTAGAAGCAGTTACAGAGCACCTGCCCAATGTCAGGTTCAGTGATGAGTGGACTCACCTGGAGCACAACAAATGACTGACAAAGAAAAAGCAACAAACCATCACCCTTGAACAGAAGCACATCCCATGCTGGATTCCCAATCCTGCTTGTCTTTTACTTGCAGGACTCTGCAGGAGTCACTGTACCTTTCTGGGACTCAATTTCTTCATCTATAAAGTGAGGCATTTAAAAAGTGACATCAAACTTTGGATGTACAAGTCTACCTGGAGAAATTCACAATCTCCAGAGTCAAATACACTCCTAAATCACCTAAATCAGTCCTAAAACCCTATGATTCCACTCACTTTGATTGTAAAAAGAGGCTATGTAAAGCCAGGAATGAAGCAGGAAAGAAGTGTGTCTTATTTGAAGCTCTCTTAAAAATTTTGGGGGGACATTTTATGATTCAGGACAATACAGAGACTAAAAGATAACACCTACAAATTAACTACAGACACATTTTATTATATTTGCTTCACATTCTTGTTATTCAGGAAATAATACCACAGACATGGCTAAAACCTCCTCTAGTCCCTCTCTAATCTCCAGTTTCCCTCTCTCACTTCCCAGAATCAAACATAATCATGAATTTGACGAGTATTTTTCTAGTTTATATTGTGCTATTACTGTTTCGTTTTCATGCAATAGTTTAAGTTATAAATATTGATAAGCCAGTGAACTCACTGATTCTTTTACTCACTAAATCAGTAAGTATTTACTAGTAAGTGCCTTCTATGTGCCAAGCAATTTGGATTAAAAAATGAACCAACAAACAAAAAAAACACCTGCCCTCATGGAGCTATGTGGGAAGATGCACAATAACCACCACAGCTGAAATAGTACAGACAGCAGGCTGAATAATGAGAGCAAAATGTAAAGGGAAAGAGGGCAGGAAATGTCAATAAGGGACAGGTTTGGCTTTTTAGTAATGTGGCAGGGAAGGTTTCACTGAAAGGACTTTCAGTAACAAGGGAAGGAAATAAGGGAACTAATGCTGATGCTCTGGAGAAAGGTGTTCCCATTCCAGGCAGAGGCAAGAGCAAATAGTCTGGTAGTGGATGTTTGAGAAACGGTGAGAAGACCAACAAGCAACACAGAATGCACAAGGTGAAAGCAACAGCAGCAAGGCAGCAGAAATAATGGGGGTTCAAGACAGATGTCAGATCAGACAGATCACAGTAACCACTTTGATCAAGTAACACTACCATAGTCATGGCTGCTGTAATGAGTTAAGAATATTTAGTATTTGCAATTCTGTGCCTTTAAAACAATGCTGCAATGCCAACCCTGCACCCCTCACCGTGTGTATTCGAGGTACATACACTTAGAATAAAGTAATTCACCACATTCATGATAATATTTTGCAAACTGGCTGTAACAAATTCATACTCCACCAGTTTACTGAGGGTTCCTGTTAGTTCAGGTGAGTTGTACAAACACTCCACAAATACTCAGGACTACTGGTCTTTTTAATTTTTGCCAATCTGAAAATCCCAAAGAGTATCACATTCACTTATTCACATATATACACGAGCTCTGTTTGCAGGCTATTCTGTTCTCTTGATTTCATTTTTCTTTCCCTGTACAATTTTAATGACTAGGAAATAGAACACAGGTATTTCTATTGCCCATTCAGGATTCTGCTGATGTGAAATGGGTCTTTCTCTTACTGGCCCATTTTCTGCTGGGTTTCTTATTTATTTTACTTTTTTGCACATTCTGAATACAAATCCTATCAGATGTATTAAGCATTATCTCCTTACAGTCCACTATTTCATTCATAGTGTCTTTTGACATACAGAACTTGAGTTTGATCTAGCCAAATCCACCCCACGTCGTATTCCCATTGGGGATGTGTGCCTGTTGCATTATTTAAGAGAACTTCCCCACCTCAAGGTCACAAAGTTCCTATGATCCTGTCTAAGTTTTAAGTCTCACTTTTCAAGGTTAGGTATTTTTACTCCACCCAGAATGTGCAGATGCATCTCAAGGTATCCACCTCAGGATCCTCCATCTTCTAGTGGCTACTCACTCCTTTCTGACGGCGGGACTGAAGTCTCCAGTCACATTCCTGAGCTCCATATCACTGTACCCAGCACTTGAACACACAAATCCACATACACTTTACAACTTTGTGAACAGATTTTCCACAAAGTAGTACGGCATTATTTGCCCAATGTAAAATATTAAAGAAACCTACCTTTGTCCAACTGCTCTTCAGAATAGTGGCTCTCTTTCCATCACCAAGTGCATTTCTAAAAATAAAAACAAGATATAAATATCCAAACATTTTTTATTATAAAAGTATGTAATGTGCATCTTTTTGCACTGTTTGAATTTTCCATATTCTCTAATTAAAAACTTATTTTCCTAATTTTTAAAAATCCATACAATTTATGTCCATTATAGGAAATTTGGAAAATACAGAAAAATAAAACACAATCACAACTACCCAGGAATGACTACTTTTAATATTTTTTAAGTAATTCCTACACATATTTTATCTATGCCTAATTATTACATATTTGTGCATGTTCACAAGACTTCTCATCTCCAGAAATATAATTCCCAGGTCTTTTACACAACACATGAGCTAAGCTACAGCAGACAATCTGCACGCCAGGGCTTGAAACCACAGATAAGTCCAATTCAACACAACTCTTCTTGGGGCTATCTGGAAGTTATTAGCTCAGAGAGACTAATAACTTTAAAATATCTTTAAAGTTTATTTAAAATAGTCTTTAAAATAGCTACAAAATGAGGATAATCCTGCTTTAAGGTAGATACTATGTCACACACTATGTTAAAAAATAGTGCTTTGAAAAATAAACAATGATGTAAAATATATATAAATTTTAAAAAAACCAAAGATTTAAAAAAAAAAAAAAATACAGTGCTTTGCAAGATGTCAAATACTAACAGATCCAAAGCTCAGTCTCAGTTTCTAGGCTTCATTTCCCCAGGGTGTGCAACACTCTGACTGACCCACTTGATCTTTCTACTTCTTTATTTATCAAGCTTAAGATTTGCTGGCTCATCATTTCATACATGCATACAAATTTTTTGTACTTCTCTGTCCCAACGTTTATGTTCTGCTATGACAAACCCCAACTCTAGATCAAGCCCACTTTCTGCTTTCTCCAGACCTCAATCAGGGGCTGGAGAACATTAGCGCAAAGCACAGGCAGCACCACTGCACAATTACAACAATCCAAGGGGCCTTCAACACTGTCAAGCAATCGTTTTACATCAAATTATTCTTTAACTTTGTAAAATGATCATTTCAAACCTTGTGTCCATTCCACAAACTTCCAGCTTCCCCTTCTGTCAGCAGATAAGCTCTGCTATAAATTCAGAGTGTAAACTGGAGCCATTAAAAAGGACTCGATTTCCTACTACCAAACCTAAAGACAAACCCACTGCCAGCCCCATCTCTTCTCCTCTACTGTTAGAGATGTTCCTATTCTTCCTTATATGGCCAATTCTTCCACTTGTTCCAGAAAATTCCATCATCTTTACAATATAAATTATCACTTCTCTCACCTATAAAATTAACCATTTCATCTCTAGACTCTATCCCATCATTTTTTTATTGTGGCAAAATATATCCAACATATAATTTACAATTTAAACTGTTTCATAAATACAGTTCAGTGGAGTAAATACATCTATTTGCTATGCCACCTTCACCAACTTTTAATATTCTCAGATCACTCTTTAAAAATAACACAAAATAAAACAATGATGTAAAATATATATAAATGAATTTTTAAAAAATTAAATAAATGTCTTGAAACCTAAGCAAACACTGCTGGTAACTTATTCAACAGCTACTCCTCTGTGCTACCTGGTTACTTTTGTTGTGAGGGTCTACCTCACTACATGATTTAGAGGTAATTCTTATTTACTTTACCCCAATGCAGCAATCCCACTCTCTTTTCCATTGATGGGTTTAGGGGTAGTGTTGGCCACCGAGACCTGAGGGGGTTTATCATTCTTAAAGACATTGCCACAACACTAGGAAACTCACACTACCAGACACCAACACCTACTAAAAGACCATCTAAGGGTAGAGGAGCCATCAACACAACAGCACAGAGAACCCAAAAGTCTTACCCAGTCACCTGACCTACAACAGAGGTAACCCTGCCGTGTGTGGAGGAAACAGACTCCTAAGGAAAGTGCTGGATCAGCAGGACATCTGAGTCTTGGAACAGAATTCACACTACAGAGGACTCCGAGTGGACTACAGACCTGAGTACCAAGGCTCAATGAGCAATTTCCAGAAGGAGCAGAAAGGCTAGTGACCTTAGAGTAGGCAAATATTTGAAGCAGAACACAAAAAATGTTTACCATAAAGAAAAAAAAAGATTAAATGTATTATTTTAAAACTAGTAACTTCTGGTTGTGAAGAAAAAAAGAAGTGAAAAGGCAAGCCACAGAATGTGAGAAGATGCATATATGTGACCAATGACTTACATCCAAAATTTTTTCAAAACTACAATTGAAAAAGACATTCAACTCGAAAAAATAAAGCAAAATGTTTTAATAGGCACTTCATAAAAGGGAATATCCAAGTGGTCAACAAGCATATGAAAAGATGTTCAACTGAATATTCTTTATCAACTTAAAATGCAAATTAAAATCACAGCTCTATATACCCACCAAAATGTCTAAATTAAATGACACAAAATAATAAGTGTTAGCAAGGATGTGGAACTGAAACTGGCATATGCTGCTGGCAGGCGTGTACATGACCCAACCACACTGGAAATTATGTTCTAAAGCTGGATAATAGCACACTGTCCCAGCAACTCCACTTATCTGCTCTAAAAATGTTCACAACGTTACTATCTGTAAAAGCCAAATACTAGAAACTACCCAAATGTCCATCAACAACAGAATGGGTAAAACATGGTATATTCATGCAACAGATGAACACTTCACAATTACATGCAACAATATGGATCTCAAAATCAACGCTGAAAGCCAAACAGAAAAGAGCACATACTATACGAGTCTGTTTATACTACACAAAAACGGGCAAAATAAAGCTATGGTGCTGAAAGCTGGAAGAATAGTTACCCTGAGGAGGCAGGCAGTGACTACAGGGAGGGCTACAGGGAGCTTCTGGAATACTGGGTTCTTGCTCTGATACCTGGTTTCTGGAAAGTTCACCTATACACTGATGAACTATACTTTTCATATGTATTTTAACAGTTCTTGAAGATGAGCCATCCTTCTTCCGCTGCGGTATCTGGTTTGATGCCTGAATTACAGCAGCTGTCCTGTCCTCTTAAGAGAGGTACACACAGAGGGAGACCAAGGTACACACAGAGGGACTGGCAAACCTAGTTGTTTAGTAATACTATTTTTTTAAATCTTTTATTTAATTTTAAAATTCACTTTTTTTTTTTTGGTGGGACCCTCGCCAGCCGGGGAACAAACCAGCGCTGCAGAGGCTGTGAGCAGCCCTGCAGCCCGGCGCTCAACCACTGCGCCACCAGGGGAGGCCCTAGTGATACTATTGAGCCACTAAATACACAAAGCGGAAGTCACCTTCTGGAACTCCTGAATGAGGCTATTTTCTTCATCATCAGTTTTCTGATGTTTGCGGCCCAAAACATTCTAATACAGTGGCACACCTGTTCCACTCCTCATGGCCTCTACCCCAAATGCCTTTACCAACTGTGCATGCCATCTCCACCTCCTTACTCTCGTTTCCCAACCCACTCCAACCCAAGCTTCCCACTGCCAGCTCCCCCATGGTAACAACATGGTTCATACAGCTAAATGTAAATTCCAGCTGGTCTCAGCAACAGGCATTGCCAGGCACTGCTTCACTGACTACCACGGCACCGCACTGACACTGCTTCTCCAGCACCTACCAGTGGTCTCCGGTGCAGGCTCATCTTTTCCTAGTTGACCAGTAACAGTGGCCCTCAAATCTCAATCTTACTTCCTCTTCTGATCTCATCTCAGCTTATGCTTCCTCTAGACTAAAGGATATCAGGTCTCAACCTTGGTTGCAAATTCCATCTGGGCTGGGGGAGTGTTCTCAAAGCCCAATACCTAATTAATTTACCCCAGATTAAATAATCAGAACAGGGTGTGGGGGATTTTTTCAAAGCTCAAGGGATTCCAATTTGCAGTGGACCACTTCCCTAGGCAACCTCACCTACCGCTGCAACGTCAGATCATCTAGCCTACTCATGCTGAACGTCTGTCTGTCTGCTGCCCAAACCTCTCCTTTGAGTCCTAGGGGTAAGGACCTCATTGCCTTCGCATTCCAATTTAGATCCTTCAAGGACACTTTATCTCAGTATGCCCAAGTCAAGATCTACTTCTTATAAATATGTCTCCCACTGTCAGGGGCCTATAATTCATGAAGCTGCTGAAGGCAGAAAGCTCAGAAGAGTCCCAACTGCCACCTTCTCCCTCACTTTCCAACTACAACCTGTAAGAAACTCTGTCAACTTTACTCCCAAATATCTCAAATTCTGCTCCAAGCCACCATCATCTCTAGCCTGGAGTTAAACAGCCTCCTATTCATATTGCATCACCTCTATGCCTACCCACCTCACTACATCTGGATTGATCCTGTTAAAGTGCTAGCTAAGCTATTGCTCCTCAATTTAAAATTACTCTTATCGATGCTGTTAAAGGTCAACAGTTTTCATGTAGTGTACAAGGTCCTCATGTAGTCTGGTCCCTGACCACCTCTCCCTTCCACCTGTATTCAGGTGACCATTCACTCCATGAATTACCACGCTGCTCCCACCACTGTTCAAACCGTTGGCCCATAGTCTAGAATGCAGGGACATCTGGTTTTGCTCATTTCTGTCATCATCTATAAACAGAAACCCAATATTTGTTGATCAATGTTGGATTCTTCAGCACTTCTTATACACTATCATATCTATAACCACAATATATTGCTATGTATTATAATCATGTTATAAACATACAAATGTATGTTAACACTTTCTCATTTACTAGTATATCACCATATTGCTTATAACTGCTGTATCACAACATAGAAATGCATATAAACACCAACAAGTCCCCATTTACTAGCCAATGAACACTTTCCAATATTAAAGCAAAGTGGGGAGAGGAAATTACATGGCGCCACTGCTCATCCAATGACTGCAGCCCAGGATCCAAACACTCTGACAGCAGGCGTGGCCTAGCAGCAGCAATACCCTGCACAAGACACCTATGGAAACAGAATGGCTATCTACTCTCCCAGCCT